GCCTGTGCATCAGCAAAGAGTATGTACCTTATGCTGCAATATGAATGGTCAGTATTTGGCTTCTGATACAAGACAGATTTAAGTTATTTCTTGTACTCTTGTATTGAGGTTCAAAATGCAACCCACAAAGTTGAGAGAATTTCCTATTGTTTTAGTCAGTGACAGCACTTTTGCAGATCGACAGATGAATTGATTGTATTGTGACACACTCCCTAAAGCCGAGGGAAAACTTAAACCCTTCATCTCTATACTGCGTTTGTTACATCAGATGATTTTTGGGTCTACTTTGTGGATTCTTGAGCATCTTATTCATCTACAAATACAAAATCACTACATTTTACAGAATATCCTGCAAATTACTTTGAGAATTCCTCCTAGCATGAAAGGCACTATATCAAATGTAAGGATTATTTTATTTTCAGATGTATTATATTACTCAACCAAACTATTTGTGGTTTCCGATAAGATCATCAATACCTTCTCACAATAGCTGTGTGCTCCAGCCTTGCCGTATCTGGCTGTTCGTTGCATTTTACCTACACTAATTTCTTCTACAAGGTGGTATTTCATCATTCTAGGCTACATTTGAAGCTGTGGCCTGGATGGGAAATGATGTGTCAATTCATGAAGCTTTCTTAAACCTCATGAATCATATCTGACATTTCCAGCAATTTAAAATAGTGTGCATTATGATATAAATGAAAGAGCTTCAGCCATCGTGGGGTAATTTTAATGATCTGAGTCTTAATTGTGGCTTGCTGCTGATGCTCTTTCTACGGGCTATTTAATCACAGTCTGTGGTCTGAGCGCAGGTTATATTTGCAAATGTGTTACAGCTGTCACAGAGCAGTTTGAGAAGTCTCTATTAGGGAACAGCATCTGTTCCATTTGCATTTGTCATTGCTATCTGAGAAGATGAATGAAAGGGGATATGTATGGGTCACAGGTACCGCATGCTCATGAGTTTGGGGCCACTAGTCAAGGTTCTCTCCAAGGGGTATTATGGAGTACACTGATGGTATTATGGAGTACAATATCAGCCATTGATCTCCATGATTGTGGAGGGGATGGTGGAGGTTAGTAACTGAATTAATGAGGGCAGTGCTCTTGCCATCCACATGGCTGCTGCAGTGAAAAATCAAACTAATGCAAGAAATGGATGGACTCAGAATATTTTCTAACTGATGAGAAACTAAGAACTGTGGAGGACCAAAGGGATTTGGGTGACCACATACACAAATCACTAAAAACAAGCTCACAGGTACAAAAAGTTATCAAACAGGCTAATGGGATGTTGGCTTCTATCTCAGGGGGACCCGAATATATTGAAGAGGAAATGATGCTTCAGCTGTAAAAAGCCTTGGTCGGATCCCATCTGGAGTACTGTGTTCAGTTTGGGCACTGCACCTCAGGAAGGATATATTGGCTGGGGGGGGCAGGGTGCAGTGCAGATTCTCACCAGAATGATACCAGAGCTTAAAGACTTAAATTATATTGCACAAACCTGGTCTGTATTCCCTTGATTTCAGAAGGTCTAGAGGTGATCTAATTGAGGTTTTTAAATAAAGGGATTTGATAGGGTAGATACCGAGAAACTATTTCCTCTGGTGGGGGAATCCAGAACAATTAGAGCTAAGCCATTTAGGAGTAAAATCAGGAGGCAGTTTTTCACACAAAGGGTAGTGGAAATCATAAACTCTCCCAAAAAGGCTGGATGCTGGATCCATTTAAATTTTCAAGATTGAGGTGGGTAGATTTTTTATAAAGGGAAAATTGTATTACTCTTCTGAGGTTAGTACATGTACTGGTCAGTACAGGAAATCATCTATGGAATCAGTCCCCATTCATCTTTGCATTCTGACTGAATCAGAAACGGTGACAATCTATTACAACATTGATTGTTAATCATTCCAAAGTTACATACTTCTACAAACCTGCAGGGGGAAATATAGAGGGACTGTCAGGACAAGCATTTTGGCTTGTTTCACCTTTTATATCATTGAGAATTTATTAAGTGTGAATCAGGAAATTAGCTATTAACCTTCAAAACTGTATGATGGATTTGTTCAATACTTTACTGCATTATCAAACTGAAGAAATTACAATGCCCAACATTGCAATACTACTATCCAACATTGCTATATAAAGTAGAAGTGAATGATTATTATTGAAATGACTGATGTGAACATTCAAAAAAATTAATAACTTTTTTATGATACAGTGTCTGTAGTTTTTATGAACCTAGATTTATAGCAAACCATCAGATTGAGGGGTTGTTTAAAGAAACTCAGGACACCAAGGGGCTTTGTGTCGCTTTTTTGCTAAAGTAAGAACTGATGACTCTTGGTGCTGGGCTACATTCTGTGTCTTATGAACAGTGGCTGATTCAACAACCGCTGTGATGACAATACATGTATTCATTTTTTATTCTAGCTCATCATCCACGTGGTATTGTCTCACCCCCACTGCCCACGCCCACCCTCCCCTGTCCCCGCCAGCAAAACTACAACCCAACTCTCAATTGTTGAGATTAATGAGTCAATCTGGCTCAGTTGGTAGCTCTTTTCCTTCTAACTCAGAAGTTTCTGAGTTCAAGCCCCACGTCTATACTTTGAGCTCATACAGTGTAGGCTGATGCTTCAACTCAATACTTGAGATGTGCTGTATTGTTGGAGGTGCCCTCCTTTAAGTGTCAGGTGAAACCAAGTTCTACTATGCTTGTTCAGATATACGTTAAATGTCACATTGCACAATTTGAAAATGGAAAAGAGTTTCTCCCACTGTTCTGGCCAACAATCCCCAAAATAAAATTGCTCATTCATTTCATCAGTAAATTGGCTGCCTTGTTTGTCTATAAAATACAGTTACTACACATTACAGTGAATTCCTCCAACATGAACCTCTTATTAATAGAGGAGAACCCATACTGGATTGGATTGTGTACACTGTACCATCTCCAAATTCATATGGGCATTAAGCCGATCTTGGAGTGGAGGTGGAAGTGAGTATGATGTGGGGGGTTGGTGGAAAGTGGGGGAAAAAACATGCTGTTTACACTGAAAACATAATATCCAAGTGTAATTCAGTCAGATTTCAGAGTAAATTTATTCATTATAATTGGGGACTAATTGGCATGGATTTCAAACATTAATTGTTGAATTCTTGCATATCATGAATGTGATCCATAACATTTCTACACATGGGGCTCTTCAGTACTCTTCATATGTAAATGGAAATCAATGTATATCCTAAAGAGAATGTGTAATGCCTTTATTTTGTCATTCATATATTTTTTGGTTGTAAATCTTCCTCAGCATAGAGTTGCTGGTGCTGGGAAATGAAATTTGTTTTCCGCTTTGCTCACCAAATGTCAGGATCAAATACTGTTAGATGAGGTATAACACAACCTAATGCAGGATGAAATGCTCTCTGGGAACTGAATGGAGACAGCAACATGTTTCTTACGGGACCTTTGCAGCTTTCACTGAACACCTTTACCTCTTCCTCCCTCCTGATTCCAACTCCAGTTCAGGTCCAAATCCTTGACTGCCCAGAGCTTTGGGAAAAATATATGCAGTCACTTCACTTTGCAATATATTGTGTGAAGTGCTTTGAGATGTCTCAAAGACATGGTAAGGCGCTATAGCAAATGCAAGGATTATTATTCTCTCAGTGTGACAGCTGTGATATTAATGTAATTTTTTGCTGTTTACAGCCAGCTAAGTTGGGAAAATTTTAACTGGGCTGAATTCATTCTGGTCACAAAGGTGAAAACACAGTGAGATCTAATGCATAATACAGTCCATTCCTACAGTGATATATAAGGGGAGGATTTTAAAAAAAAATGTATTTTATAAGCTGACGGATAGATTCATATTTTGATGTTTGGCTGGGTGAGGATGATGACATTTATGAATATGTTAAACTGGCCACTGGGTGGAGTACATTAAATTTTCCATAGCAGAATTTCAGACCAGATTTATCAAATGGATTTTCAGCGTTAAGGAGGGATACGGATGCTTACAAATTGGAAGTATGTGAACAGAGCATGGAGGGTGTGAATATTTTAACATATCTTAATTTTTCATTAATTTGCAAATGTTATAGATCACAATTTTTTTTTACTTTAAGAATACTGCTTGAAATTTGCTTTCTTTTCAAAGTCCTGGAAGAAGTTTACTGAGCCTTCGCTCAGACACAGACTACTTGGAGCTAATAATATGATAAATAAAGATAATAATAATACTTGCATCTGATATAACACATTTCATGTTGAAGGATGTCTCAAAGCAATTCGCAGGATTTATTGTAAAGTCCAATGTATATTTTGTAGGTGTACATGACAGCCAATTTGCAAACTTCAATGTCCCACAAACAGTTATGTAGTGAATGATCAATTTTATCTGCATGTTTATTAGCCAGAATCCAGACAGCCAATGTCAGGAAATTTACACACAGCATATGTAAGGCACCTACAAATGGAAATTTCCCTGTGTCTGGAAGAGAAACTCCCTTTATTTTTCAAATACTGCTTTGGAATCTTTAACATCTTTAACAGGATCGAAGTTTAATGTCTCATCTGAAGGACAGCACCTCTTACAATGGAGGACTACATTGGGGAGGACAAGTTTGCACAGCTATGGGGAGAGCGCGGGTGAGTGGGATTGATTTTAAAAGAGTCGACATAGACACAATGGGCCAAATGGCCTCCTTCTGTGCTGTATGATTCTATGATACATTGGAATGTCAGCATATAATATGTGGGTTGTAAAAACGTTACCCGTAACCTTCTGCCTCAGAGGTGAAAGTACCTTGTCACTAAGCCAGGCTGACACCTAAAATGGGTGCCCTTGCTCTTAAATGTTATTTCACAGAGTGTTGCAGGTTGACATAGTCAATTCATTGGGCTGAGCACGATCCAAAGCAATAGTGCCCTCGTGGTGAAATGGTCATAATGTCTGTTTGCAGCATGAAGCAAGGATGGTTAATGAAGATGCAAAAATGATCAATCATTTATTGAAATTCACAATTCACTTTTTTACAATCAGGATGGCAGAGGGTTGCAGGTTTTCTTGAGGAATACGTCTTCTGGGTTTTCTTGGCGTTTCCCTTTAAAGTTCCTGTGATAAATATTACAGTCGTAGCAATGCGGTAAGTTTAAGCATTCATTCCTTGATTCATACAACCACAAAAATGAAATGCTGTGTTTTTTTTGTTTGAAAAATAAAAAGCAAGAGAAAATGTTAAGAAACGGTTTGCTCCAAAGATAAACTCTCCTCTGTAGAACATCTTTAGAACAACATCTGTAGAACAACAGCGAGATCTGTTATCTGAAAATTTGCACATACTGCTAAAATCTCTCAGGGGGTTATAACAGGTGAAATAAAACTGATGTAGATCCATAATAAACGCTGTCAGTCTTTGCTTAGATATGTGGTCCTTTTAAGCCAAAGCTTCACAAATGAGTCTGAATGCCTAGTTGAGTAGCTTATTCCAATAAACTGTGCACTTCATCATCTTATTTGTTCAATGAGCAGTTGACAATTAACCCAAAGTTCCTGGGTTGTGAACCTCCAGTAAACAGCCATCAGAGGCGATAGCAGTTTATTTTGTAAGAATACTATCTTTCGTCATAGGAATGGAATAATTTACATCCAGATAGAGGTGGAGTGGATTTGTCCAGTCCTAGAAAAGTATCTCTCAGATATTTTTTGTCCCGAAAGAAAACTTCCACAAAGTATCCAGTTGTAATTGTTTATCCAGTGTCTCAGTTTGTTCAACAATAGTCCTGTCTGTCTGGAAAAAAAGAATATATAAGCAGGCGGATCTGCATTAATTTTGCCAACATACTTATTTTATTTAGGTGCGAGCCTGGCTCAGTTGGTACCACTCTTGCCTCTGAGTTTAGAAGGCTATGGGTTCAAACCCCACATCAGGACTCGCACAATCTACAACACCACCACCACCACCAAAATCATATTTGTAAAGCACCTTTCCTGTCAGGAGGACTTCCCAAAGCGCTGAACAGTCAGGGATCAGGACCCGAGGATGGGCCGAGGCTGAAGCACTTTGAGATGACCTTCTGATCTAAAAGTTGCTATATCATATACAAGGATTGATATTATTTTTCACTGAGAATTTTAGGTCTCAGTCTTGCAACGTGTTGCTTGTAGAACATTTGATGATATTGTCGTCCAAAAGATGAGAGCTCTGTCCAGTTTTTCTTATTATGTTGCACCCTGACCGCTATCTACAACAAGATCTTGAAAAGTATTCAATGACATATTTATGCAACTATACCCAAGTTTTGTAAAGTTCCTACTAATACAGTACAATTAATAATTGGATGATTCAAATGGTTTCCATCTTGTATTTGTTCCTGAACAACTGAGTTACTCCCCACCTTTATTTTGTGCAGAAACAGCCTCATTCTCAACCAGTGACTTGTTCGAGGGCAACTCTGTGATAGGCTCCATCACTCCACACCTCAGAGTAATGGGGATACCTGTCTGCATCCACAGTGAGTGCCTGATTTCAATCATTCTCCTGGGGGACAGTTGCCAAGCCCACACATTTCTCATAGGTAATAAAATTGCAGTACTCGTTGTCATGTCATCTTAATAATGCACTTCATGTGTTCGAAGAATACTTGGATATGCCTTCCTCTTAATGCCCTTCTCTTGTTTGCTCTCATAGGACAGCAGAGTAGAAAAACGGAATATTGAATCACAGTCTGGTTAGCCATGTAATCAACATCACATGCAAACCCTCCACTGGTCAAAGGTGAATTGTCTCTTGAACCTTAATACTTTTTCTGAAGTTTGCAGACTGAGTTCTTCTGCTTGTTTCCTCATGTTATGTAAATGAGGTTGTGGGCTAACCTAAACACACTATTCGTCAATATCTGCATTTACGTTGTTTATTCTGCCTCCAAAATACAGTCATTACACTTTGCATTGAATTCTCTGAAGCACTTTGAGAATGTCATCCTGATTTGAAAGACCCTATACCAAATGCAGGGATTATTATTTGTGCTCTGCACAGTGTTAGATATTTGGGAATAGGCAGTTCCAGCCTCCAATGGCCTTTTCGGTGCAATTAAATATCATGGTACCAAGAGCTAATCCCAAATAAAAAAAATCTTTGCATTAGATATCTTTGCAAACTCACATAAGTCATATCAGTCAGTACCACAATGATTCGCGCAAAATCCGAGCTGCAGACAAACGTATAAATCGTATAAAATCTAATTTAATCAATAATCTACACTGTGCTTCTGAAACTTAATGTGTCTGATAAGTATGTATGCGTATTGTCACTACAGCCAGTAAGTGCGTGCAGTGATGGGTCACGCTTCCCACGATTCAATGCATCTTGACCCATCGCTACATGCTCACTTACTGGCATATGTTGGAATCGCATTAAATCGCGGGAAATGAAATTCTTCAGCATGTGCATCAATGGATTAAGATTATGTTTCCCGCAATAAAATACAGCCGGCCGGTAAGTGTGGGAGTAACGGAGAGTAGGAAAGCTGTGTTACAAGTTAGGAGGTGATAAATATGGCTAGGGCAATCTAAATGGTTTTTAATATGAAACTGATTGGAACTCAGGTGCATGTATGACTTAGATGATTATACGATTTATAAAGATAAGACTTATGCAAGTTTTACTGTAGCGCCTTATCATGTTGGCAAAATGAATCAAAGAACTCCACAGGATTTACAGTAACAACTTGCATTGAAATGTAGCAATTTCCCACAAACTTCCATGAAGAGAAATCAACTAAGAAACATTACGAGGCATTAATAAATTTTAGCCCTTTATACTGAAGACCCTGTAAAACAAATGCAACTTTCATGTGCAAATAAAAGTCTTCCATTTCCTTTAACTTACTGCAGTTCAGAACTGGTTAAAATATTAAAGATACAAATGCTTTGGCAGTTCTTCCTACATTAAAGTGCCTTGAGACGTCCTCCTGACGTGAAAGGCGCTATAGAAATGTAATTTTGTTGTTGTTAAAACCAGGGAATTGTGCTCAACAATCTAGTTTATTACTATAGAACAATCAGTGCCAAGTCTACTGTATTCAATTATACAGTAGTGGAGGATGGTTAATAATTATAAAATAATCCTTGCATTTGTTATAACGCCTTTCATGTCAGGAGAACGCCCTAAAGCTCTTCACGCAATAAACCGCAAAGCAAAGTGACTGTATTTGTGGGCGAATGCGGCAGCCAATTTGCACACAGCAATGTCCTACAAACAGCCATGAAGAGAATTACTAATTTAACTGGGGACCAATGTTAGCCAGGACACCGGGACAAATTCCCTTCTCTTTTCGAACAGTGCTTTAACATCCACATGAACAGGTAGACGGGATTTTGGTTTCACGTCTACGCCAAAGGATGGCTCCTTCAACAATGCAACACATCCCAGCATTGCATTGGACTGTCATCTTAGATTATGTGATTCCAAGACCCGATGTGAGGATTGAACCCACAACCTTCTGACTCAGACGTGAGAGAACTACCATTGAGCCAGGAATGTCTCAAAGGAGTGTTCCTATGACATGTTTGAATCTTTACCACCTGACAAACCCCAAATAGTCTTTTCCTCCCTATGCAAACTAGGAGATCATCTTTTGATAAGATCTTTGTCTCTCCACTTTTCTTACAGCCAAGAAACCTAAAACTGTCCAAATAAGGAATTTCAATCTGAGCAGTGCAAACCAGAACTATAAATTATTTGTATTTATTTTGTTTGCGTTAGCTGTGGTTGCTCAGTGTGTGATCACTGGTGTCTGTGTTAGCTGTAGTTTTTCAGTCTGTATTAATTACTGATATTGTAGTGTTAGTGCTCGGTTTCTCGCTACTAACCTGAACAATGAACATTTACTGCTCCTCCTCTTCTATGTCTGTCCCATTCTGAACTGGTTCCTGTTCCTCTTCTGTCCTGCTTGACGCACTGGACTTCTCATTCTCCCACTTGGCAAACCCTCGACTTTTTCCTCCTTTTCCTTGAAGCTTTGACTTCATTTTGGGAAAGGTGTGTGATCCTGAGTCGCCCGCAGCCCACCCACTCTCCTGCCACAAGGGCTCTGTCTGGGTGGCCTGGCTAGCGGTGGCTCGCTGTAAACGCACTGAGATCTTCTGGGCTGAACCTGTCATTAGTGTGATTGACCTGCTAACAGTGGCTTGGTTTCCAGTGGTAACGCAGCTGTTGGGGAAGTTGAATACTTCTCCATCTTGAACTGCAACCAAAATAAAGACATTGTTAAGTTCTGAGTCACAAAACCAAATGTCTTTTCACTTGAGAGGGTACTTTATCAGAGCTTCAGTACAGTGTTGATTTATATAGCCGCTTTCACTCCCCCAAACTCTGGAACACTTCTCCCTGAATCCCTCCACCTTGCCCCTCCTTCCCCATCTTCAGGTCGTGCAGAATTTCCTCGACTGTATTTACGGTCACACACCCCCCATCTCAACCTTCTGTCAAGCGCTCTGACACCCTACCTGCATCAGGGGTGCTATATCAATGCAAGTTGTCGTTCACATGAGCAGGCCATGTCCAAGCACTTAACACAGCTGGATGTGCATAGGGAAAGCTGAGGAAAGTGGGAACAAAGATGGCCAAAAGAATGTACAAAGAGGTAAGTCTTAACATAGTGGTCTGAGATGCAACTCTGTGTGAGGAGCTCTATATAAATGCAAGTTGTAGCCTTGAAATGGGGCTTGAAAGTGGGGATGGAGCGAATGAGTCAAAGGGACTCCAGGATGGAGATGCAACAAGAACAGGCAGAATGGCTGAAAGTTCGCCCATGAGGTGGATCAGACAGGGGAACATGAACCAGCCCAGAATAATAAATAGTCCTTATATTTGATACTGCACCTATAATATTGAAATGTCTCAGAGCCTCACAGGTAAATTGCTGTCAAGTGTGACTGTGTATTCGTAGGCAAACGTGATAATCAATTTGCAGATTGACAGGACTTCATTATTCTCATGTCTATCTTGCATGCACTGTGTGTTTGTTGGGCCCTCGTGTCAGTAATATGCAGCTTGAGTATGATCGGTGGATCAGTATTGCCTGGTACACCATGTGCTCAGCAGCTCATGTAAATGTTTGCCTTCCAAGCTTATAAAGGGAACCATGTCTCCATTCACCCCATCCTCTCTCCTACTCCAACTCTGGTGATGCCCTGTACTATGGGCCTTGATTCACATTTCTCAATAAAAGCTTGCTTTAGGTCGTCTAGACTCTAATGGACAAACTGACAATTCTAAGTGTAAACATAAGACTTATTTCCCTTATTAAATAATGAATAGTACAGTACATATTTCTACTGTAACATTTTCAGGAGGGGCAAAGGGACATTTGGCTTTCGCAAAGCAGCCTACTTAAAAAGGGTATGAGGAACAATGAGTTTGCAGTGGCATGAACTGCACTACATTACTCATTGTGATCAAATGGATGTCTCTGGCAGCACAGCACATTTTGTTTTGCCTGGAGCAAATCAGTTTAGATAAGAGCGGCTGCTGCAAGCTAATGGACCTGAAGAAAGTAATGTGACTCATGTGGAAAGTGTATTGTGTGCTGAAAGCCTGGCATGTGGAGGATATGTGATAGCTTTGATAATCTCCCAATATCATACTCACAATTACTCTACTTGTGCAAAATAATATCTCGGATTAATATCTTCCAAAAACATAAAGAAATGATCTAATTTCCCTGAATTTTTAAAATCTTTTCCCGGGATGTATGTTGGCGATTGTCCAAACAGTCAGTCAGATGACTGGGTAGGAAAGGAATGTCCCTCCGTGGATTATTTCTCAATAACAAGAACGATTTGGTGATTAAAACTAAGCACATTCACGATTCAAAGTGCTAAGCACAGGCTTTGATGGAGAATTCATTAAACAAAGTTGAAAAGAGACTGCTTAGAAAGTGCAAGCAATTCAGATACTATTATGGAATTAATATCCCATTTACAGCACAGAGTCTTATTATATTGAAAGCAGTTCTGTTAGCAGGTGTAGCACATATATTGTAAAGGCCTCAGCCATCTCTAACTGAAGGGGCCCCTGGCAGTACTATCCCAGTAAGTTAATTAGTTAAGTGGCTAGTAGACAACAAGTGGAGATATACAGATAGTAGGCAAAGACTGTAGATATGAGGATATAGACAAATGTTTTGCAACAAGGATGACCTCTGCCTTTGACACATCACTGGGTGTGAAATACAATTGTTCTGTTGGGTGTAGTGGTGATAAGAGCCTGAGGAATGATGGCTGGGAGACAGAAGAGATTTTCTGAAAGAGTGAAAAGTTGTGCGAAATCTTTAGACCCACTGTTCCTATTATTTTGTAGCTGTGTAGAAGTTTAGTTTTGTAACCTTCCTGTGAAGCACTTTAAGATGTGCTAACAACAGCAAAATTACATTTGTATAGCACCTTTCACGTTGGGATTACGTCCCAAGGTGCTGGACATTCAGCGTTTTCGACCCGAGCTGGGGATCGGGATCTGTGAGGGAGTGGGGGAAGGAGGGTGATCAAAGCCACGATCAAAGAGGAGGGTCTTCAGACGAGTCTTGAAGAAAGCAATGGAAGGGCGAGGTGGAGGGACTGTGGGATGGAGTTCCAGAGTTCCAGAGGGTGGGGGCAGAGTGGCTGAAAGTCTGCCTGCCAATGGTGGGGCGGCAACATGGGTGACATGAAGGACGGAGCCCACTGAGTGGAGGGAGCGGGCAGGTTGGTAGGGGTTAGGAGGTCGCAGGGGTGGGGGGAACAAGTACATCGAGGGCTTTGAAGGTGAGGATCAGGATCTTGAACTGTATCCTCTGTGTAATGGGAAACCAGTGGAGTCGTGCGAGGATAAGAGTGATAGGGTCACGGAGCTTGGTGCAGGAGAGGACACAGGCTGCAGAGTTCTGGACGATCTGCAACCTATGGAGGGAGGGGTTGGCGAGGCATAATTATAGCACTACATCATTTGAAAGAATTATTATATCATTCCTTATTTTTGTTATTTATTCTTCCTTCTATTTTGCTATTCTGTTCTTCCTTCTTTCAATATTTTTCTTCTAGTATGTTACTTTCCCTTCTCAGTGGGTTTATGATGCTCTTGGACACAAGTGTCAGTGAGTTTGTGTTGGGCTCGGAACCCCTTTAAGGGATTTGAACTTATTTTCTCCAATTATTTTTAATAAGTTGCAATAATGTGCATGGTTAGTTTGGGTGGTAAAGCATGGAAAGGTAAAAACTACTATCTTTATTTAAATTACACTACAGATGCAATCATAACAACTTACACTAACATAGCACCAAGAGAATATAGAAAAATGTCACAAAACTCTTCACAGAGATAGAGTGGAAAGCTGAACAGAATGCGAGATGGGTGAGGGAGGGGGGGCTAGAAGGGAGGTGACCAATTATTCAGTCAAAAGACATACAATTTTAGAAGAGCTTTGAAAGCAGAGAGGGAGGGTGAGGTGAAGAGATTTAGAGAGAGAGTTCCAGAGATTGGGACACAGTAAAGGGCTGAAAGCTCAATCACTGATAGTGGAGCGGAGAGGTTCAGGAAGACATAGAGCAGGTCTGAGATATCGGAGTAGAGAGAGTGGGTGAGATAAATCAATGTATGTGAAACGCTGCCATACACAGAACCAGTTAACATTGACTGTGTCTTTCCTTAGCAGAGTGAAGCTTTATCATGAAGCGGGTAACTGGGAGAAACAAAGCACTGAGCCATCAAGTGGTCTAGTTGTTCCCAACATAATAAAGTTCCACAGATGACACAAGAGATCCTTACCATTCCCAAGGTTGAGCGATGCGGGGCTGCTGGGCAGGGAGCCATGGGAGAGGGAAGTCGGTGATGAGTTCTCCAAGGAAGTGCTCTTCCGGAGTTTCCGGCATGCTAACACCAGCAGATCCCTGCACTGCTTGTGGCAATTCACACCACAGTCTGCAGAGGAAGAAGGTTACACAGGGAAGATTACACTGGAGTCCAGCCCACAGGTATTCAACAACAACAAATTACTCTTGTATAGCGCCTTTCATGTCAGGGGGATGTTCCAAGGTGCTGGAGTTGCTCAGAACTGGAGTTACTAACAGCGAGTCCAAACCACAATGAGTGACTGCTAGTAGTAACAGAAGCGTGTCACCCTGATCAGAGGGAACTCCAGCAAATGGACTAAATTGCATCAGATCGAATGGCAATCTTAGAGAGGAGACGGGAGTTTCCGAGTTGAATTCCTGTGGATCAGCATGACATACTTTCTGTTATTGGCAGGGTTGCTATTAACAACTTCTATCACAAATTGCCACATGTTAGATCCTCATTGTTCTCAAAGCAGTTTCTCAGACATAGAGCACTGAGCATCCCCGAACACAAGCGTTAATATTGGAAATCTAAGCACCAGAATTAACTCCCTGATCACTGTTATAACTAATGTCAATCAACGGCAGGTGTGAAATGTACAAATAACACACTGCAACACATTACAACAACAAGATTTCATTTATAGAGCGCCTTTCACGTCGGGAGCACGTCCCAAGGCGCTGGACAGTTGGGTCGGGACCCGAGCAGGGGGGAAATGGTCAGGGTGAGGGGAGGGAAGAGAGGGAGCGAGGAGGGGGTAGAGAGTCGAGAGGGAAGCTGAAGGCACGGTTGAAGAGAAAGGTCTTGAGACCGGCCTTGAAGGAGGAAAGGGAGGGAGCGGCGAGGGCACTGGGGGATCGAGTTCCAGAGCCTAGGGGCTGAGAGGCTGAGGGCCCGGCCACCGATGGTAGGACGATTAGGGCGGGGGATGTGGAGCAGACCGGAGCCAGAGGAACGGAGGGTACGGGCAGGTAGGTAGGGGGATAGTAGGTTGGAGAGGTAGGAGGGAGCAAGGCCGTGAATGGCCTTGTAGGTGAGGATGAAGATCTTGAATTCGATCCTCTGGGGGATGGGGAGCCAGTGGAGGCGAGAGAGGGTGGGAGTGATGTGGTCGCGAAGCCTGGTGCGGGACAGTACACGAGCTGCAGAGTTCTGAATGACCTGCAGCTTGTGGAGGGAGGTGCCGGGAAGGCCGGCGAGGAGAGAGTTCCCATAGTCCAGCCTTGAGGTGATAAAGGCGTGGACCAGAGTTTCAGCAGCGTGACGGGTGAGGTAGTGCCGTAGTCTGGCGACATTCCGGAGGTGGTGGAAGGCGGTGCCAGTTGTGGCGCGGATGTGGGGAAGAAAGGACAGCTTCGGGTCGAACAGAACACCGAGGTTCCTGACTGGCTTTGAGAGGTTCAAGATCTAAGCCCAATAAGTGAGCAACCTGTTCCCAACTAATTGTAGTATGTTACATCCAGTCTTACAGTAATCATGAGTTTATGTTAAATAGAGGATGATCTGGATGCAATCTGGATGATTACAATGCAGTATTCCACAATCTGATCAGATAATGACAGTAAAGCAGTGTTTGAGCTGCTCAACCATAGTCTGAACAAAGCATGAGATGAAATTACAATCAAAATCAATTCCTCCCCCTCTTGCCCATTGATGGAGGCCAATTGCAGCCCCCCCCCCTCCCCACTCTATGCACAGACATTACTGCAGTGTAAGATGTTCTTTCTGGCATCAGCTGAGATCAGCTAATTTGGCACAAAGCAGGGATCAAACTTTGTTGGTTCAGTGCTGCACCAAACAGTGCATTTGTCCACTGAGCCACTGGAGTGTCAACATAGTAACTTCTCAATTGTAGTCAATTGTAACTACTCACATTTGATGTTGCACCTTATCACATTGTCAAAACATCTTAAAGCGCTGCACAGTACCTTACTGTAAATTGTAATAGGTGAATCTCTTATAAGGAAATTATTATTTAAAAATCATTTTAAATTTTTTTTACATTTCCAAATGTGTGGCCGACCTGGTAAGCACCTTAAATATGTCACTGCACTATTTTACAAAACTGGAAATGATTCCCCCTCCTCCTTATCATTTAAGAGTTGATTGTCCCTTTAAGAGCTCATAGAAAGCAAAAGAAAAAACAAGTTGCATTGCAGCTATATACTGTACTGACTCTGATGTGGGCTCAATGCTAGCTGGCCTCAGAAGGTAACAGATTTTACATGGATTGCTATGATCTGTGAAAAATCCAGGCTAATGCCTCCCTGTCCCCCTGTTTCCGTTGCCTGCACCAATACAATAAGTACCTTAAACAAAGAGTGAATGGTTATTTACCTTTGCACTTGTATCCCTGTTTGATTATACCCCAGAGCTGTAAAGAAGACAAAAGAATGTCAGAGGCTTGGTGAGGAAATCGGAAGGAAGGTGAAGTAATGAAAGAGGAAGGAGCAATGGCTGCTTCAGCACAAACAGGACATAGCTGTTCACAACACCCTTCCTGTCAGATACAGAGAGAGAGAGAGAGAGAAAGAGAGCAAAGCAAAGCCCCTTTATTACCAGACTGTAGTCTTAACTTCACGGCAAAACCGGGGAAATCAAACTGAAAGCGGGTAGTGTTTAAAGAAATAAAAAGGTAACGTATCTCAATCATGTTGTCAGTTGGAACAGTGAGAGGTTAGGCGTGGTTTGGATGGGAAACATAGCTGGGCAACACTGTTGGGACTGGATAGATGAACTGCAATGGTCTTTTGATATGTTATATATCCCGACTAACTGCATTTACTAGCTTTACTCCAAAGCTATCTTCTGGTTCTATAAACCAGGTAACAACAACTTGCAGGTAAGGAGTATAATTATTGCGAACACCACTGTGACACTAATTCTCCGAACCCCACCCGTCCCCCACTCTTCCAGAGTAAAAGAGGAGGAAGGGTGAAGCGTGTCGAGGCACATCAGGTTCCTCGCTAGTGAGGCAGACATTTTCAAGACTGTTTTGCTGTAAATTGTGCCATCTAGACTTGCCGAAAAGACAGTGGCCATTTAAAACAGCTGCGGCTCACAGGAGTCATGCCTGAACCACATGTCTCCAATTGGAATTATGCCTATTCAACAACAAGAGCAAATTGCATTTATATAGCGCCTTTCACTTCAGGAAGATATCCCAAGGCACTTTGTACATTGAGTAGTGACTTGTTACGTCCTGCTGCATGGGGATGGGATGTAAGAGTGAATGGTCACCGGTGCCAGTAAGGATGCAGTTATTAACCTTTCAGAGACAGCGGGTTAAAGAGCTGGAAATTGAAAGTATCCTAAGACACCGATTCATTAACATCACAAACACGGTTGGGAACGCCCTACTGGTAGAGCTGGAAAACCAGAGGGAATGTCACTCTCGCACACCCCTCTTGAATAGTTGATTGTGAGTGACAATGTAGGAGATAATTGGCAACTAAGTAACTGGGGTTTGGGAATTGTATTTAGTGTTTAATTTGCGAATCCATCCCCACCACAAGATGAGGGTTAGTCACCTCAGCAGCCGAATTAGAGGTAGTTCACATTAACAGCAACACCATTTCACCTCGGAAAGACATTTTAAAGCACTTCACACAATAGAGAGCATTGATTGGAAGGTCTGATATTGAAAGATTTAGCCACTCTAATAATCAGAAACATAATTTTCAAATAAAATGCATTCCTCAAGTCATGAATAGACTATCACACAGGCCATTGTGAGGTGTTTTATCAGATCGGCTGACAACAGCATAATTGTGCAAGTTATAAAGCACTGGTCACAACAACTTGCAACAACACCTTGCACTTATATAGCGTCCTCCAAACAGATTAGAGTCTCAGAGTGCTTGGTTAGGCCTCAGCTAGAGTACTGTGTTCAGTTTTGGCCACCACACTTTAGGAAGGATGTCAAGGCATTGGAGAGGGTGCAAAGAGATTTACCGGGATGGTATCAGGAATGAGAGACTTCAGTTATCAGGAGAGGCTCGAGAAGCTAGGATTTATTCGCCTTGGAGCAGAGAAGGTCAAGAAGAGACTTAATAGAACTTTTCAAAATTATGAGGGGATTCGATAGGGTGAACAAGGAGAAATTATTTCCACTGGAGGGTAGGTCGGTAATCTGAAGACATCGATTTAAAATAGTTGTAAAAAGAAACAGAGAGGAGGGGAGGAGAAATTTTTTCACACAGCGAGTTGTTGGGATCTGGATTGCATTGCCTGAAATGGTGGTGGAAGCCGATTCGATATCAACTTTTAAGAAAGAAGTAGATAATTGTTTGGGGAGGACAAGTTTGCAGGACTATGGGGAGAGAGCAGGGGAGTGGGATTGATTTGGATAGCTCTTTTCAAGGAGTCGGCACAGACATGATAGGCCAAATGGCCTCCTTCTGTGTTGTCTGATTCTATGATTATATGCTATACACTGCACAAAACATTCTCTGGTAATAACGGTTACTCTTAGGGTCTGATTTTGCTTTGAAAATACCATTTGCCCCTATAAATGTTTAAACGTAGCGCTTAGTGTGTGGATGATCTTTGCCAAATAGGGAGGCTCTAGACATGTGTTCTGCATAAAACAGTAAAATTTGAGATCAACAACTACTGATTATGGACCCCACTCTGCTAGTTTCAATGTTCATGTCCATGGTATCACTGACCACATGTTTCCTGTCATTGTCTCTGAGTCCCTGTGTAAATCATTTGTAGAAACAAGTTGCCTCCTGGAATCAAGTTGTTGAGTGTTACATGAGATGTCTTATAAAGTTAGCAAATCTCTGCTTCTGACGAATTGAGGGAGAGGATAATGTGTCAGAGTCTGTTTTATGAGGCTTCATGTTTACTTGCAGCTGTAGCAGTGAAAAAAATTGTTTTCCCCCCCCTCTCCCCTTGCCAGTGGGAACTCTAAACCCCCTCATCCAAGGAGACTCCAAAACTGCCCCGACCCTCCCACTCAGTGGAGGGACTGGCTCTTCTGTCTGTCGCACCCTTTACTCTGCTGAACTGCCAGAATCACCTATCTCTGACACTGGGCCTGTGTGCAGAGTTGTTGTCATTCATATAGTGCACAAGCAGTCGTCAGGCAGTGACCATTTGTCCTCTGGATCCTAGAGGCATTACATTGTTTCAGTCTATAGTGGCGGACAGGCATGTGCATTACACAGTTCCTATTCAACAGCATCGCGCCGCATGTCATGGAAACATTTTGAGCACAACAAACAAACAAACGTATTCAAGCCCCTCCAAAAGGGACCCTTCTTCCCAGGTTAGCTTCACGATGGGATCAGTATTCTTCTCAGGTGTACTTACAAATCCTGCGCAGTGTTCACAGAAGGTAGGCTTGAGATACGTTATTTCCTGAAAGTTGTGAATGAAGCCGGGTCCCATTTTGCACTGCAGCTGAGAATTGGCCCTCAGGAAATAAGCCATCATTTCGTCCTTACTGATTAGACCATCCCTGTCAAATAATAACAATAGAAATCCTTGCATTTGATATAGTGTCTTTATCGTTAAGATGTCTCAAAACACTTCACTGAATATACTGTAAAGTGGATTGACTGTATTGTGTAGATGAAATGCAGTAGCCACTTTGTACACAGCAATGTCCCACAAACTCCCTTCTCTTTTTGAATAATACCATGGGATCTTTAACATCCACCTGGACAGGCAGATGGGACCTCGGTTAATGTCTCATCTGAAGGACGGCAGCTCCAACAATGAAAACCCCTCCCCTGCCCCAGCACTGCATCAGATAGTTATCATAGACTGTATGATTGCGTAGTCTATGTGGGGCTTGAACCCACAACCTTATGACTCAGAGGCAAGAGTGTAACCATTGGTCTAGGCTGACACTGCATGAATGTTAATCATGTATTTACATCACTGTCCAAATGATGTGAATTAAACTAACATTTGTAAGAAGATGTAGCATTCACTTTGGCACATGTGGGTTACACTTTGACAAGTGATTGCTGGAAAACATATGGAAATACATTCAGAAAATAAACTTGGTTGCTTTTCCTTCTTACAACTAACTGAAAGAGCATTTACACAAATCTGTTGAGCTACCTATGTGAGGTGACCACATGCTCAAGCTGATGGTGACTGGAGAACTGGCAAAGTGCTGAGCCTGGCACCATGCCTACAGGAGGGTTCAATCCGAGTCTGGTAAGTGTCTCACTCCCGTTCTGCCATTGGGGCAGTTCTGCCATGGGCCATTAACAGGTGGCTCAAGAGTGTTTAATTGGCTGTCAGCCCTCTTGGGAGGAAATGTGCTTGGAAAAAGCAAAATTAGAAAATGCAAGGAAATGTGATTGATCAAAAAAGTTAACACAAAGAACAAAAACAGCAATCACAAACTACAGGGGAGAAAAATTCTCAATAACAGACTGTGATCACTAGTCTCCGTATAAATAAAGGCTTGTTGTGTCTGCACAGCAGGTAATAGTGCCTTTACATGTAAAAAGAATAGGAAATAATTCAGACTACACAATACATTTCAGATTAACAATACTAGGAACAAGAGCTGATTAAGGGAAAGTTCAAATTGAGCCCCTGCTCACAATGCAGCTTCTGTGAGCCGAATAACATGAGGTTCAATATAGGAGAGATTTTGCAGCACAATGTGCCTTCCATGATGTATGATAACTTTCCACAAATCATCTGTCAAGCCATTAACTTGTCAGTAGCCGAGTTTATCATGGCCTTTTCTGTAAGGTTTATGAGATAGAATCTAGCTGAAGGTTTTACGGTTTAGATAATTGAAATATTTGATAACTGGAATCTCTCACCCATTTATCCTTTATAAGTATTAGGAAAGAGCAGGGTAATGAAACTAGACTAGGTCATTCCAGAGGGAGAGACATGACTAGCACAGAGACGATGGGCTGAACGGTCTCTTTCTATGCACAAACTCTGGGTCTATGATTCGATGCTGCGAGGTTTGGGAAGCAGGTGTCCTTGCCTGTGTTAGCTGAGAAGAATTGAGTGGAGCCCCTGTTCTGGCTGGAGACAGCCCAATTCTTGGGACAATGAGAGAAACCCTACAAGTCCTATTGCAAGGAGCACTGTTCCTAAACTTGCCAATGAGTGAATGCGTGAAATGATCCCACTCAGAGTCAATCCAACATACATTGTGCGTGGTTGAATTTCCTTCAGAAATAAAGAGGATAATTTGGCAATATGCCTACCCGATTCTTGCACTTACTCATCTTTGTCCAACACACAGAAAGAATCCAAGAATGGAAAGTTGGCAGTTATGCTTTCAAAGTCCTCTTGAGAGATGTAACCATCATGATCATGGTCGTAATTCCTAAACACAGACTTGAAGAAAATCTCCTATAAGATTTCAGTAGAGACACAGCAAAACAATAGTGTACAAAACACAGCAGAACTATAGTAGTGACTTAACAAAAAAGACCAAATGAAGAGAATGAGGGGAAGCAAGAGAAAGTGACCCAAATCTCAGGAGTGTGCAAACCAATGGGAACCAGTGCAGTTTAGAGATACATAGAACAACAGCTTGAACTATGTATAATGTGTAAAAATTTACCTTTGGAAACAATTCTGTGCAAATTCAAATTAAAATAGGCTACTCTGCACTAGGACATGGGTTGTATCTGCACTTTCCCCACATGGTCTCAGTCTCGATGGGAGTCACCACACAGAGGGAAGAGGAGAAACCAGTGGCCAGCTCTCTTTATAGACCACATACGTCAACAATAATCCTACCAACAAGTGAATTAGTGAATTGAAGGGATAGCTCTCCATTAAAAAAACACAGCTTGTACCATGGGATGAGATGATCATTTTCTTTCAAAAAAACTTTAGAAATACTTACATCAACCATCTTGCGGATGTGCTTATTGATGATTGATGGATCTGGCTTAGGGTTACCCCGGGTGCCCAGTCGACAAGGGTTACATGTTTACTAGGTGTAGTTGGAGTGCTGGGCTGTAATATGGAAAACCATCATCAGAAATATGCAATAAAATTACACGTCAGGAGGACATCCCAAAGAGCATTCACATTGCTGGACAGACACCCGAGCCGACAGTGGGAAACACATAATAAAATGCCCACAGAATTTCAGTAAATATTGTAGGTTAATCAAACACCTTCACTGGTAATCACTAAGAACTTTCATTATGTCCCTCTCAATCTTCTTTCCTTCTTTGCTGAAGACACTGGCTCATAATGGACTTCACAGCTATCAGCTGCCAACCAATGCTTTAATAATATTGGCCATTCACAAGATCATTCCCATATCCTGTTCCATCTAATTGCCTTTTAAGTATTGTGATTGATCCACTTTGATAGCTACTTGTTCTATTGAATGTGGAACATGTGAACAGGCAGACAATGCCAAGTCTCCTGGTAGTTCAGAAAGCAACATCACACTGACCATCAGAACAAAATCAATTCCATTCTCAGTAACCGAATTCAACATTATAACATTTTATACATTTGTATTCATTCATTTCCAGATTATTGTCCCTTTACTTTGATTGAGCTATTAATTTTAGATTCTGCCTGCCTATGGGTTAGATGGAACCACTACGCCCCCAAAACTCTGGAACTCTCTCCCTCAATCTTTCTGCCTTACTCCCTCTCTCCCCTTTTTCAAGTCCCGCCTGAAGACCTTTCTCTTTGGCCATGCTTCCGGCCACCTCCCAGGCTCGGAGTCAGGCTCCGCTACTGTTAAGCATTCTGAGACGCTACCCTGTGTGGAGGGTGCTATATAAGTGCAAGTTATTGTTGTTAAAGATCATTTCAGTACGTATTTGCCATTGATATATTAAAGTAAAGTGGAGTCGCTCTCCCTGTGATCCTGGTTTGTATTCCCCTCCTGATCCAACCTTAACCTTAAATTCAGATGAATTGATTGTTGCGCACGAGAAAAAGTTCACAGCTTGGAGTTAGCTAACATTATTTTGCTGTGGTTGAGTGCACCTGGAGGTCAAAATAATAGGTGCTGGCTTGGAGGTTACTATTTAAGTTCAGAGCTCAGTTCAGTGGTGATAGCTTATTACGAACAGTGAGCTTGCACGTACCATTGATTTAGAATTCCGTGGTTCCCGCAGCAGTGAGAGCTCATAGATTTCATCTTCTGTATAATATAGATCCAAGGAAAGCTGCAAAAAGTACAACAACCATTTCAGAGTGTCATTTGGTCTTCACTTCATACAATTATGTTATATCCTTTAATTTACAGGAGTGGATGGTGCAATGGATCAGCATATTAGTTCTAGCTCTGGCACCTGGATTTCGATACAGCCCAGATTGATGGAATGGGAGTCTCTTTATCTGTTAGTCATATGGTTCAACACAAGTCCTACAGTGATCGTGACTGACAGCACAGAACTGTTCATACATGAGCAATCTATCTCAGAGTCCACAAGAGAATTGAGCCTTTTTGCAGAGTTTGTCAATTTGTGAGCTGCAACTTTTGCAAACTGGAAACCACAACTTGCAATTAGCACAAGAAATCTGCTTTGCAAATATTGCACATTAGACCCCTTAATGTATTTTCAACTCCCAACTGCATTTAAGTCAAAACAAATACTTGAAAAGTAACTGAGTCACGTAAAGCAAGTAGCTATTTTACTTCAGTTTACACAAGACACAAATTAATGTTTGCGATTATACACTCAACTGATGTTTTTTGGATTAAGGATTCAACATATCTATGTACCTATACATGGAAATGTCCCAGTGTCTGGAATGGAATGTGCACTCTCACTCTTGGGTGCACATAGCTTACCTAATCCTGAAATATATTAGGTGCAAGTTGTCAAGAGCTAAGTTTAAGGAGTCTAACCAACTAAAAATGGATTACTATTGAAACAACAAATAACATTTGTATAGCACCTTTCATGTTGGAAGGACATCTCAAGGTGCTGGAAAGCACTGTCCAACAAGTTTCCCGCTGCTTGTCCAGCTAGGATCACCCAACAATTTAGGACTTTGGCTTGCAAGGTTACCAGGAGCTGAATGGGAAGAATCCCTGCTCCCAAAGATTGCCCCTATCCTTGCCCCTCATAGTCTTCAAAGCCCAGACTGGCTGGGCTGTCATCAACAGTGGCCTGGAGTACTGGCAACCCACCTGGTTCAGGAATCAAACTATCGAGACTGGTATAAATTGACCTGTGACTCAGCTGGTATAAGGACAGACCAGTCACTCGGGGCAGGGAATCCTCCCACTCAGCTCCCGTTAACCCTGCAAGCCAAAGTCCTCATAGGTAGGGTGGTCCTTGCTGGACAAGCAGCTGTTTAGACTCTAGCAGTTCCCCAACGTAAACTCTGGGGTCCCCAAGCCTTGGCTCTTGCCAACCTGCACCTTATGCTTTCCAGAATTAGGAAAGCAGGATGCGTGCCTCCAGGGAGAGAGTCACATTCCAGTCCAACAATCTATCCCTGGGATTTCCATGTGTAGGTGGAATGCAGGGAATTCTCAGTTTGGTTTGAATATTCTTAACCATGGTGATGGGTTTCTGCATGTGTCAGATACCTGGTTGACCAAAGAAAGCAAACAAAAAAATAAAAACTTACCGTCAGCAGGTGAATTAAATCCATATTTGGTTCTAAATGGGGATTTGCATCCTGAAGTGAAACTAGTTCATTGAACGTGACATATAACTGCTGCATTTTAACAATATTGACTTTATTTTCATCTATCCAGTCTGGGAAAGCTACATGAACAGCAATCAGGTCTTTCAAGTGAACCCCTAGGATTGGAATTTTGAAACCCTCACAGTCTGCGAAAGCCTTTCGATAGTTGCAGTAGTTTCCATTAGAGGAGAGAAGTTCAGTCATTTCATTCCAGGCCTGACAATGAAAGCAGAAACAAAATCGGAAGCGAGAGATGAAAAATAGAAAGATAGGCATTAGTAACATATGTCACTTGCCACAAAAACTCGGGCGAATAAAAAAGGAACAAGCTGGACTTTTTTTTAATCAGAGTATTCAAGTATTTACCAGCATTGTCTGTACTTTCCAAGTACAGCTCAAACTGGGATTTCTTATAAATACTGGATAAGTCGAGTTCAATGTCATATGCCATTCTTTGTTTTCAACTGATATATATATATATAAATAAATAACATGGGTCAAACAATCATGTCAAGATCCATGCCTCCACCATCATATCCACCCTCCACACGTGTTTGAAAATCGGGTTACTGGTCTGTGATGTCCCCAAGGTCAAATAGTTTGCCAACACTCACTATTAAAGTTCAGACATGAAGAATGATCATTTGGTCAAGAGTGACCATCATTCTGCAACCACATTCCAATAGAAACAAAAAGGAACTTGCGGCCCTCAGTGAGGGGGGTGGAGGAGAAGAATTGTTGGAGTAAAAAAAATCTTACTGGCAAGACAGCAAAGTGACAATGGATAATGAAAAGTTTAAAGCAAATTAATAATTTCCTTATGCTCTCATTCGTTTGACCCGTTCCTCATTGCACTAATTTCTTTACCTTTGTAACCTCAGGAGCGAGGTGTGAGCAAGTTTCCTTGAGGCGGGATATAGCGCTGTGGCTCAGACCACCTACAACAGCCATCAGTGTATTGAAGTTCTGGAGCTGGAGCAGCTTCTGAAAGAAATACGACACAAACTTGTACAATTAGTATACACAGATATGCTAACTATACTACTGAGAAGATACTGTATAGACACAAATATCCAAATTGCACAGCACTAATAAGATTCCTATATATTTCCCCTTGAAGCATTCAGAAATATTGCTACTGCCTATATTGTTATATTATGGCCTGGCATTATGTATGTTAACTTAATGTGCAAACAGGTAGACAATAGAAAATGATGAAGTGAATGCTGCTTCCAAATGTAGCAGCATTCACTTCACCATTCCTTCTGTCTACTACTTTGCTGTTTCTCTTATGAGCTAAATAATAATAATAATAATAATAATCCTTGCATTTGATATAGCGCTTTTCACGTCGGGAGGACGTCCCAAAGCGCTTCACAGAATATACTGTAAAGTGAATTGACTGTATATTTGTGGGCGAACGCGGCAGCCAATTGCGCACAGCAATGTCCCACAAACAGTCATGGATTGAAAATGACCAATTTATTATTGTTTTTGGTTTTTGGAGGGATTATTATTAGGCGTGTGGAGTAAGGAAACTTGCCCAAGGTTTCGCCCTCTGCCTGGAATTGAACTCAGGTCTCTCACTTGCAAAGCGAGTGCTCTAACCACTGAGCTACAGGACTCCACTCTATGTTAGTGGAGTAAATAGAGTATAAAAGTAAGACTGGGTTTAAGAAATAGCCGAATTCTTGATGCTCTGTTACAGTAACAGGAATTTCTTCCCAAGGCTTTATTTACAACTTTAAGATATTGTTGGTGCGGTAGCTTGTGTGGCCCTGAATCAGTACTAAGGGTTGGTAACTTGGTGCTAGGATGAGAGGGTTGGAGCAATACACTCACTAAATGACCTGTCCACCCCCCCAATGTATTTGTGCTTCTGTTATGCTCTGATTGGCCAACAACCACAAAAATGCTAAGTTATCAACCAGAAAAGGGAGCAATGTTCAGAGAGGAGGCTACACAAGACAAAGAGTGTTAATGGAGGAGGTTTTGGAAAGCATCCAGAAAGCAGCCCATGTCTGATAATGAGCAAGAATAGCCACTTAGTAGCATTAGATAACCTGAAAACCTTTTTGGCCAGAATTCTCTCAAAGCTTTCTTATCTCTGACTTTTCTTATCCCCAATGTTGGGTTCCTTTGATTGTCACAGTTGGATAATAGGCAGCAAATCTGCTGAGGTAGTAAACATGTTTCAGAAATGTACTGTGCTTCAAAGTACCCATAACATATTGAACTGGGAACCTTATCCTTCACAAGGACCACAGCAACTCTTACCGCTTGGGAGAGCAAGATATTGCCTGAAGAGATTGATTAGAGTAGGACACTTATTGCGATCACATTTGTGGTATTCTTAAACACATTCTGTTCTTTATTAATGGAATGGAATGTGCTTGGCAAAGCTGCACTTTTTACCTCATTGAGTTTAGTGAAAATGCAGTAATTCTTTGTTTTGTATTTATCCCTGTAATTGTCTCCTCTCCTGAAGCTACTGACTCATGACAGGGTGATTCCTTACCCAAGTGGCCATTATTCATTCATAAACGTAGACAGCGGTGTTGGCAGGCTATGAGGCTGTAGGGAGAAACCATAACAGCATTTTGCCCTACACTTATGAAAGAGATGTTAGCACCCAGAAGAGGGATTAAAAAAACCATTTGATATGGCATTTATATAGTTGAAAGGTCTCAAAGCACTCCAGGGATTTGTTGTAAAGTATAGGTCCAATGTATTTGTAAGTGTACTCAGTAGCTAATTTGCACATAGCAAATTATCCAAAAACAGCCATGAAGTGAATATCCATTTTATCTCAGGGATTGCTGGACAGGATACCAGAAGAAATATCCTTCTCATTTGAATAGCATTATGGGATCTTTAGTATCCACCGAAACAGATAAAACATCTCATCCAAAAGACAACACCTCTGACAATGCAGTGCTAACCCAGCACTACACTGGCGTGTTAGCTTAGACAATGAGCTTAAAGTCTTGACATAGGGGTTGAATTCATAGATTTCTGACTCAGACGAGTGCTACCAAATGAGACAGATTAACACACAATGGGTATGCTCAGAGAAACATCTCCTTAAGATGGGGAGGATTGATAGAAGAGGCATTGCAGCCAAATCCAATCCTGTTCTCTGCCAATATCACTCACATGCAGTCAGCAGGGTTTGCTGAATAGTGATCAGGATTGGCAACTCTTGCTGATTTTTTCCTCTCCTTAATTCAGTCAGACTGAGACAGACTACATCACCAAACTGTCCTGGCTGTGATCAGCAATGTGCAACCTAGGTCAGCTAAGTTTCCCTCTATCCACGAGTCGCCAGGTTGAGTTTCCAGTCAGTTCAAAGTGCTTTGAGACATCCTCCTTTCATGAAAGGTACCATATAACTGAAAATTGTTGTTGTTGTTGGTGTGGACAGTTGACTTTTAATATTAAAGAATTAACTCAGATCTAACTCCAGGCTTGAAAGAGCTTGGTGTCAGGGCAGATGGCATTCATCCAGCGAGCTGAACATGAATAACTTGTGTCGCTCAACAGTGCTACTGTTGCTATGCCAACTCCTCAAGTTTTGGATTTTGTTGGAGCAAACCCAGATTTCTCACAGAGGTGTTCACAGACTTCATTTACCGACACCACTATGTTAACCACACAGTAAAAATGGAGGTTACATGGTATTATTGTACACACCAAAACTCACTTAAAAATAACCAGGCCTTAACCAGGAATGAGTGACCAATTTTATTTGGCGGATTTGTTGGCCAGGAGACAAGGAGAAACTCCCTTCTCTTTTCGAACAGACCCATGGGATCCTGAACATCCACCTGAACAGGGAAAAGGGATCCTGGTTTAACATCTATAGATGTTAAGGTACACCAGTAGGTGTGGATAAAGGAGAAGTTCAATTCCAAATCTGAAGTTTAAACAAATCCGAACTTGTGCCCTTGACTACTACTTCTTAACATTTACTTAATCCTGGCTGGTTTTCTATAGTGTAACAATCAGGAAAAATAAGAGGAAGCAAGAGAGGAACTTACTAAGAACATAGTAAAGTACACAATTAAATAAAGGCTAACTCTACTGACTAATCTGACACAAATTATTTTGTAAAGGTCAGATACAAAGCCACAAGACTCTTCGTCCAATCATTATATATTTGTAAAGGATATGTCGTGGACAGGCACATAACAGGGTTTATTTTTCCACTAGCAAAATTAACTAGATAACATAAATGATATAAGCTAACATTTTTACTACAGTATTTTAAAAAAACCTTAGTGTCTAATTTGAAGTCCGATACATTACCATGAAAAATTACATTTATATAGCGCTATTCACATTTTGAGGACATCCGAAGGCACTGAACAGTTTGCACCTGAGCTGGGGGTCTGGTGGGAGGGTGAAAGATGAACAAAAGCATGGTCAAAGAGGATGGTCTTTCCTGGATTTCTTTATAAGAAATGGGGGGGTCCTTGCGTTAACGAGAGGAATGTCGCACTGACCCGTAGGAACTCTGCTTGACATAGCCTACTTCCAGAGCACAGTTCCCATGAGGCAATGAGAATTCTAACAGGAATCCTTATTATTGACGTAAGTTAGATGCTGTTAATTGAAAAAAAAAACTTTTTAACTCCAGATTTTATTTATTTTAACAAAGTCTATTGTGTGCACATAGTTTCGTAGATTATTTTAGTCTTCTTTACCCTCTGCCCTGAAGTAACCAAGCACAGTACTGAAAATCACACATATGTAGATGAATCATCTATGCAGACACAAGTCTGATTTAAGAACATATGACCACATCAGCTGAGGTCATTAATATTAAAAATCTGGGTCAACTGCAGCCATAAACCTAATGTATTTAGTAAGTTGCCAACTAGTCAATGTAGAAAGATTAGGTTTTGGTCGAGTACGAAGAAAGGATTTTGTGCCCTGGCCTATTTTCTTTTGATCAGCCGGGTGTCTGAGACATGTGGAAAGTCCATCATCATGCTTAAGAGTTTTTAGACCAGACTGAGAGTTTTACATCTGTGTGCCCACCTACACATAGGCATTTCCTCGAAAGACAATCTTCTTGTTAACGTAGTTCTGAGAGGAATCCTTTGGGTTGGATTTGGCCTTCCAGGTGCTCTTTTGTATTGACAGTGCTAAACTCCTTTAACAGTGCAGGGCATTTGCTAGCCCAGGCATCTTTGATACCGCTCCTTCTTCCTATCCTCAGGCAATGTTTTCTTCTTAGGAATAAGCTGTGGTTTGGGACATGTGCAGATGAGTCATCTGTATGGACGCAAGTCTGATTTAAGAACATATGACTACATCAGCTGAGGAAGCTTTTTAAAGATTATTGCATAAGTATGACATATTTTTGCTTAAGAAATGTTAAAGAATGTAGATTATAGGTGCTAGATCTATGGGCTTAACTGCTCTGTGATGTATTAATTGCATCAATGTCACTTCAGCTACAGCAGATACGAATAGTACTTATAGGTAGTAAATAACAAGATATTAATTCATAACGTTTCATTTAACTTGCCAACTCAGCAGATGTGAACACTGCTCTCATTCATGAGGTGAAGAAGTCTTTCTCATTCCATTGTGGTAACTAACTATATTTGAGTCCCATACTTCCTCTTGCTCCACAGCTCTTCTATTATGCAAGTTTCCCATTATAAGCATGCAATCGGGCATTTGCTTAGTGTTAGAAAATGGTTGTCATGATAGTCTCTCTGGGATGCCAGAGATGGTGACTTAGTGATAGGTTATATTACAATAAGGGATCAGGGAGGAAAGAGACGTCCATCAGTACCTAACTGAAATGGTTAGGTGCGTGTCTGGAGTGTAAGTATTAATTGGCTATTCATCCACAGGAATCATCACAGACAACTTTGATCCTCTTCTCTCTGTACAGTAAAACCAATGGTCAACTTGGTCATGAGGACAGCTGTTTCTAGAACTTCCTCACCCTGGAGTACAGGGAGTGACCAATTAAACTTGTACCATCAGATGGAGGAGGTGAGCAGAGACCAAGTTTCTCTGCATAGGTAAGGATAGGCAATCAGCAAGCAGGGGTCCATATAACCCGATCAGATTAACTGAGACTTGGGAGCAGCTCGGCTGAAGGGTTGTGCCTTGTTCTCCTTCGCCTCTTACACCTTCAGCACTCTGTTAAGCATCTTGTTTATTCTGATTCAGCATCATATAACAACGGCTTGTGAATGGCTCGAAGCACTTTGAGACATATCAAAGAATTGATATGGCGCTATATCAAATGCAAGGATTATTATTATTATTGTTGTCCGAAGAGACAAAACCTGAAGAATTTTGTAACCCGCACAATCACAAAATGTTATTCTTAAAATTAAAAACATGTTTCCTCACCTGTGCCACGTTGATGAACTTAGTGATAACTTCTGCCCTTTGCACTGATGTGTGTTTGCTAAGAACCATCAGCTGGAGCCATTGGGAAATGCCATTGAAGAGAGCAATAGACCTCTCGAGGGTTGGATTGTCCATTAGACAGCGGTGTATCACATAGCTTTGATAGTCTGTAAACTGCAAGAAACCATTTAAAAAATTTATGGAAAGTCAAGATTAATTTCAACGCCTTTTACACCTTCAGCATTCTGTTAAGCATTATTGCCTATTCTGATTCAGGATCATATAACAATGGCTTGTGAATGAGATTTGTTCTGGAGCAGAGCTCAACAAAATGCAATTACTGTACTTTCCTGTGCCTAGGGAAGAAATGTGATGTTTCATGTGATAATTAACACAAGTGATAAGCTGATAACTAAAAACCAACTGTGGGTATGAACCTTCCCCCACACCCCACCCCTCCGAAACCTTGCCAGAAGCTGCTAGGAGTTGTGATTGGAGTTCTCACTACACGGGTATCCACATTGAATAAAGCGGAGTCCTGTAGCTCAGTGGTTAGAGCACTTGCTTTGCAAGCGAGAGACCTGAGTTCAATTCCAGGCAGGGCAAAACCTTGGTCAAGTTTCCTTACTACACACGCCTAATAATAATCCCTCCAAAACAAAAATAAATTGGTCATTTTCAATCTACGACTGTTTGTGGGACATTGCTGTGCGCAATTGGCTGCCGCGTTCGCCCACAAATATACAGTCAATTCACTTTACAGTGTGTTCCGTGAAGGGCTTTGGGACATCCTCCCGACGTGAAAAGCGCTATATCAAATGCAAGGATTATTATTATTATTATTAAAGCCAATACCATGTGAGGCAGTACTCAAATACCACACTGTATGACAGGTGAGTGTTGCTGACACAGGCCTGCTGTGTATATCATGTCCACTCTGTGCCTCATCAGTGGCTGAGCCTGCAGTCACTATACCCTAATTCTCTGGAACTCTCTGGCTCTTTCCCTCCTCATCACCCGCTCTCTATCTGTCTTTAAAACCTATCTTTTTGATCATGTCTATGGTCACTAGAGAGCATCAATTTAAGTTGAATGTGAAAGTTCACACACAGGGTAGTTAGGATATGGAATGTCCTGCCAGGACTGGTGGTTGAGGCAGAATCCACATGGGCTTTCAAAGGGGAACTAGATAAATACAACAACACTAACAACTTGCACCTATATAGCAAGCTCCATGCATGGTAGCATCTCAGAGTGCTTAACAGTGGCAGAGCCTGACTCTGAACCAGGGGGATGGGAGGTGACCATAAGCACGGTTGAAAGCGAACTTTTCCAGGCAGGACATAAAAAAGGGGAGAGAGGGATCAAGGTGGAGGGATTGAGGGAGAGTGTTCCACAGTTTTGGGGCGTAGTGGCTGAATGCGCGATCTCTAATGGTGGTGTGCAGGGTGTGAGGGACAAGCATTAGGCCTACAAGGCCATTCACGGCCTTGCTCCCTCCTACCTCTCCGACCTACTATCCCCCTACCTACCTGCCCGTACCCTCTATTCCTCTGGCTCCGGTCTGCTCCACATCCCCCACCCCAACCGCCCTACCATCGGTGGCCGGGCCTTCAGCCTCTCAGCCCCTAAGCTCTGGAACTCTATCCCCCAGTGCCTTCGCATTGCTTCCTCCCTTTCCTCCTTCAAGGCCGGTCTCAAGACCTTTCTCTTTGACCGTGCCTTCAGCTCCCCTCTCGACTCTCTACCCCCTCCTCGCTCCCTCCCCTCACCCTGACCATTTCCCCCTTGCTCGGGTCCTCACCGAACTGTACAGCGCCTTGGGACATGAAAGGCGCTCTATAAATGGAATCTTGTTGTTGTTGCTGTTGTTGTTGTTGTAGGCCAGTGCCAGTCGAACGGAAGTAGGGAGGTGCCAGGGAATGAATGGATTTGAACATGAGTGTGAAGATCTTGTAGTCGATCTGTTTGGTGATGGGGAGCCGGTGGAGCCTGGCCAGAACTGGTGAGATGTGGATACGGAGTTGGGCCCGGGTCAGTATGCGGGCAGCAGAGTTCTGAATGAGCTGGATTTTTTGAATAATGGAGCTGGAAAGACTGGCAAGTAGTACATATGAATAATCCAGGAGGGAGGTAACAAACTCATGCACGAGGGTTTCGGCTGCATTTGGGGTAATAATAATAATAATAATAATAATCCTTGCATTTGATATAGCGCTTTTCACGTCGGGAGGACGTCCCAAAGCGCTTCACAGAACACACTGTAAAGTGAATTGACTGTATATTTGTGGGCAAACGCGGCAGCCAATTGCGCACAGCAATGTCCCACAAACAGTCGTAGATTGAAAATGACCAATTTATTATTTTTTGGTTTTGGAGGGATTATTATTAGGGCTCTGTGTGGAGTAAGGAAACTTGCCCAAGGTTTCGCCCTGCCTGGAATTGAACTCAGGTCTCTCGCTTGCAAAGCGAGTGCTCTAACCACTGAGCTACAGGACTCCAAAGGTACGGTGAGGGTGGCGGAGGTGGAGGAAGACGGTCCTGGGAGGCACTGGATGTGGGGAAGGAAAGACAGCTGGGGTTCAAATTGGAAGCTTAGTTTGTCTACTGGTTTGGTGAGTCTGAGGGAGAGCCCAGGGAGATTGAGGATTTCAGATCCGCAGGAGTGAAGACATTGACAGGAGCCAAGGAGTATGGCTTCTGTCTTGTCCACATTAGCTGCAGGAAGTTTGCACTCATGCTTAAATGCTTAGAATGGAATCAACTGCAGGGCTGTAAAAAAAAGGGCAGGTAAATGGGACTGAAATAATTGCTCTTAAAGGAATCAGCACAGATATGATAGGCCGAATAACCTTCTTCTGTGCTGTAAATTTCTATGGTTCTAGCTCCCCTCCTCCCTTTCCACTGTGAAGCATTCCAAGAAGTTATCCTATGTGAAGCGTGCTATATAAATGCACGTTGTTGTTGTTCTAACACCTTCCACAAGACAGCTCTAACTCTTTTTTAAATATCTAATGTTTGCTTACTGATATCCGACGGAAGGATTTGTACTCCAGGAAAGTAAGGTGCTCAGCCAACTCAAGAGGCTCCAGGTGATCAAATAACAGGGAGGCTTTCCCCTTCTTCTTGGTTATTTTCTTGCGCTGGGTTACCCGCCTCATCCAATCATATGACGGGCTGTTTAGAAACAAACAATTGTATTAAATGGACCCAAAATCAGAGTTAGTCAAGTTAAGCTTTATGTTTTATGCTAGAGTTAAATAGTTTAAGTTGCCCTGTCTGTTCTTGTTAATCAAGATCAGACCAGGGCAATATAACATACATCCCTTAACAATAATACCGAATTATCATCTGAGTTGATTATATATAAAATGTGGGTATAATCTGTAGTTTTTCACACTGGAGGTTGTTTTGACACAAAGCAAGTGCGAGAGTGTTCATCCAACTTTCAGAAAATAAATTAAACTAATTTGAGTTCATAGTCCAAATGATCACTTCAGTGCGGTACTGGGGAGTGCTGCTTTAATGAAGATATTAAACAGGGGTTCCATCTACTTGTTTTCATAGATGGCAAAGGTGAAAAGAGGCGAGCTTCTGCTAGTGTTCAGGCCAACAGTCTTCAAAATATATTAATTATTCATCTCACAATTGCAAATTGACTGCTGGTTGTCAGTCCATACTATGACCTCAAAGTCCTGATGTGGATTCACAACCTTCTGGCCAATAGGCAAGAATGCTGCCAATCCAATATCTACAAATATTGCATTCAGCACAAACATCACCACTGGATTTAGATTTACATTACACTGTGAATTGTGTGATGAATTTCACCTGACCATCAAGGATCCATACTTCCTGGGTAAATAAAGAGACTATATCCCTCTCCATCTTTAAAACCCACCTTAAGATCTAGCTTTTCAACTGTGCCTTTAGTCATCTTTCTTCCTCCCCTATTCACTCAGATTCTCCTTCCTCTAGGGTGCCCAGTCAGCTGTGTATAGCACTTGAAAATGTCCTTCCAATGTGAAAGGCGCTATGTAAATATAAGGTGGTGTTGTTTTTGTATGTCATTTTGCCTGCCCACCTGACTATCAGGAATTGGATCCCAATAAATTAAATAAGCAAGTAACAAATATAATGGAAGCAATATAATATATACCAAGATAGGGACAAAACTGTTTTTGAATGCAATATAGAATAAATGGTGCACAGAGCATCTTTTTATGTTTCTGTGGATCTGTACTAACATTTTTTCTAGAAAGTAGATCAAGGTGAAACCAATTAGCTTCCCTGAATTTGGAATTTGAAGAATACCCACAAAGCTGCCCACTGAAGTAGTCTTAAGAGCTTTATGACACTCAGAGCTTTCCAGCCTCTCTCACATGGACATCTACTGCATCTCTGCATCCACCTCATCTGTCAATCGACCACATATTAACTCTGATGAAGAAAAGGGGGTTTCTTACATGCTTGAAATGTCAATCAGTTTGCTGTGTTCTTCATAACCGAGCTGGCTTGCCACTTCCCGAAACTCCTCTGTAAGGCGGACCAAACCGAGATCCAGATTAAACTCGGCAGGGAATTCAGAAATCCAGTACCTAGATATCAACAAGCACAAAGTGGATTACAATTGTAGCTTGAAACAGTCCCTGACAGGACATATGATAAGTTTACAAGAGAGAGATGGTCAATCTCTCTCAGGTTCCAAATTCCAACCTAAACTTATTGATGTTGAAACGACCATTCCTAATATTTATCATTTTCTTATTATTGGAAAACTTAATATATTCAGGATTTATCATTAGGAAATCTGAATACATAACATAAAGCAATTTACCCCCCAAACTGGGAGTGACAATTGGCAAATGGAATCTAGTTTGGAAAGACTTTGTTTTTGACCCCAAAGACAACAACTGAATACAGAATTACTTGATACAATTTTGAATTAATTAATATCAACAAATGAAGTGAAACTGACGCATTCATGTGAATACGATCATTATATGTCCTGGAAGTTTTCAGAAACAAATGTTATATTTTTGAATGGGAATGAAATGTATCAGAACATTCAATTGATTTTATGGTTGGGGCCATTTTTACAAAACCTTGTTATATATAAAAAGGCGGCTTTCAGGGATTTACATAGGACAGCACAGATGCAGGCCTTTTGGCCGAAATAGTCCATGCCGGTGTTTATACTCTAAGCGAGTCACAACCACTTCTTACTCCCCCCATACCCTTGTATTCACCTCTCTCTCCTCTCTCTCTCTCTCTCATGTGTATATGTTGCTTCCTCTTGAAGCAGATTGTACTATCTGCTTGAAACATCACTTTGGACAGTGAGTTCCACATTCAAGAAGTTCACAATACAAGGTGTCTGTTGATACTGGCTTCTTCAAGACTAAGCATACAAATCGACTGGAAATGGCGGTGTGCCTTACACCGATGCATATATCAATTCAAAGGTCCTCTGAGGCTCCGTTATTGATTCATAAGCTTCATAATCCAAAGCTAAGTGCTTTGATCCCAGATAATGAGATCCAAGTCACAGTCAAATAAAGAGAGCAAGCAATGGATATGGCAATATTTAAAAGGTATTTTAGTACCATTATCCTTGATTTGATCTTCTCATCCACCATCTCTACCCAAGAACCCAGGTGACTGGGCCTGCACCTAGACTTCTATTGCCAGAAGTCCATCACTGGTAAATGGAAACATTCCCTTTGGCTTTGATTTCCCATCTCAGGGTAGACGATGAGGGTATCTGTCCTTTAACTATTATCTCCCTGAAACAATATAGCTCAGATCGATAGAAAAGAGAGTTGCTAAGCACCAACTTGCATATAAGGAAACATCTTGCATATAAGGAAACATCTCCAAATGTTTTAAACAGAGATAGAGTGGGAACCTGAGCAGGGAGGGAGATGGTGGGTAGGGTGCATAGATGTAAGATGTCCTAAGTTGCAGTCAAAGAGGTAGATTTTTAGAAGGGTTTTGAAAATGGAGAGAAAGGGTATGAGATGGAGAAATTTAGTGAGATACTTTCAGACACTCCTCACAATCTGTCACACATTTCTGCGGGCTGATTTTGATTAAAGTTGATGAACAGCTTACTTATGTAGGATGGAGGTATTACACAGGACCCAACAAGAAAGGAATCAAAAGATCAAAGCTCCTCATATAAATGGTCCCATTAAAGTCACCCGAATCCCATATGAATAAAACAAAGAAGTACTTTCAATGGTGTAGGTGCTATATCAAATGCAAGGATTACTGTTATTATAGTTTCAGTTACCTCATTAATTGGCAGATTTTGAGTCGAAACGCATTGCAGTCTTCTCCGCAGGCGTCTCGGTACGTTTGAATGTTAAGGAAACGCCCTTTCACTCTGCTGAAACATTGTTATTTGACCCTTAGAACACTTGTGAAACCAGCTAATTATTTGATTCCAGCCACACATCAATGGCTTGAATAGCCAGACTGAGACCACAGCAGGTGAGGCCTTACAGGTGACATCGTTTTAACCTACGGTCAGCCAAGACATAATCCAACCTATCTCTAAAAACTGACAGTTCATGCCTCTGGAGGCAGCACCAATGACAGTGCAGAAACAAAAACTGTTATTTACACATTACTTACTTTTGTCAATATTTGTGAAATTTCAAAAGACTTAAAACTCAGATGGTCACAAAGAACTTATTATGCCGACACACTGCAACAGAAGATCCATTCATGTCATGTCAGCTGCTAAATCATCTTGTCAGTCAAATCTTGACTGGCATCTGATCTGGCTGAAAGGAAGTTTGACCATTCAGAAAATTATTTTTAAACTCTAAACTTTGAATTTTGATGAACATCCCATGATTTTAACATGTGAGCATTGATTTAGCTCCCTAAATGTCACTCCCTAGGCAACTGTGGCCTGCACATAAGAGCAAGCCTGAAATTCCTCAAGATCTTTAAGGCCATAGTATAAAAATATTAAGATTACCTGGAATTTTGGAAAACAGTTTTGAATTCAGTTTTAATTTGGAAGCTAATTTTCCGCAGTTCATTTTGGCACAATCTTTTTGGGTATTGTAGAAACTGACTTCCAAATTAAGACTGAATTTAAATCTGTTTTCCAAATTTTCACTTCCCTAAACCAGGAATGTTGAGGAATGTTGAATTGTAGCTTTCCAACTAACATAGCCACAGTAGAATTCAAACCACCAACCTTAGCACAATTTAAGATTAAAGACATAAAGGATATATTAGCTGAAGTTTTCCTGCTAATTCAGTGGACAGGAGGTACCATCGATGTATTAAGAGGACCATTCTGGGTAACTGGCTGTTCCGCAGCTCTCCTTCATTGTCTGAAAAAGATAAGCAATAATCTATTAAACACATTTATATTTGAAACATTCAACCCAATGTTTTAGGAGTAATTTCACAGATCCTCACCGCCCACACCTCATGTTCAGAGACATCTCAACTACTAATATCACAAAATATACAGTCAATTCACTTTATAGTATATTCTGTGAAGCGCTTTGAGATGTCTCGAAGACGTGATAAGAGGCTATACCAAATGCAAGGATTTTTATTATTATCGTCCACAAAGCAACAACAGCTTACGCTTATTCTGTTGCCTTTCAAGCAAAATTAACATACTAAAGGACTTTACATCATGTGCTGGATAATTGACTCCTGTGGTGCATTCCACTTGGAGTAATGTTTTCAATTTGTCTCCAACACTGCTATCAATTATAGAACAGTTCCATTCTCATGGCATCTCACACATGTCTGCAATACATCAGGGGTTATCCATTGTGTAGGTCACACAAGCTTCTCAATGTCAACCACTGAAATCAGCAAGTCTTTGTCTGAATACAGAATTCAATTCTATGCAGGTGCTGTCACAAGCTTTCCCCTTTTTTTTCCAATTGAACAACAACCATCCCTATGTTCCTACCTTGGACCCCTCTGCAAACCAGGCAAATTATTGGTAAGAGAAATGTCCTCCCTATCCTATTACATCCAGAGTGACCAATCTATTATTATAAACTTTAAGGGCATTAAAGATCCTAATAGCAACAACAACAACTTGGATTTATATAGCGCTCTCCACGCCGGACGGCGTCTCAGAGCGCTTCACAGTAATGGATCCCGGGGCTGAGCCAGGGGGAGGAAGGTGACCAAAGGTGTGATCATAGCATCATATCAAAGAGGAGCAGAGAGCTTTCCCAATATCCTAACCAGTATTACTCACTCATCCAAATGAATGAAGAACAGATTCTCTCATTATTGTTTGCAGAATGATGCTGGTGCATTTTGTACATAACAGTCTCTATACATCAAAGTAACTGTGTGTGGGAAGCACTTTGAGATGTTTTGATATAAGGTACTACATGAAATGCCAGTATTATTACTGATATCATTGGCTTCTGTGATACTAGAATAAGGAGGGGAAAATTTGTCAAAGTTTCTGCCCTTGTAGGAATGCTGATTCATGGGTTTCAGATGAGGCTTCGCTGCACTTGCCCAAGGTCAAATATCCTGCCAACAATCATTGTGCAGTCTTCCACAAGGGGACACAAACCCAAGCTGTGAAGAAGAAAGGTGAAGAGACAGCTTAATTCCTTTACATGAAGAACAGTGAATATGTGGAATGGACCAGATTGTCCAAATTGTGTCAGCAACATTAAAGAGGGATTATGGTTTCTATGCGGTGAAGAAAATTATTGAGATGCATATGAGAGATATGAGTTGTGTAAGATTTTTTTCCCCATTGGGACCTACCAGAATGTCCGCAATGGTCCTACACATTCATGTGTTCATATGTGAAAAGGGCAACTAGGATGGATTACAGGAGGACAGTGGTACCAGTGCGACTATACTCATTGGGGTAGAAATTCCCTTTGGGTTTTACAACAGCACAACATTTATATAGCGCCTTTCTCATCGGAAGGACATCCCAAAGAACTGAGTCTTTGGCTGATGAGATGTTAAAGCAAGGTCTTTCTTGGCTGTTCAAATGGACATTAAAGGTCATATAGTACGATATTGAAGAAGAGCAGAGGTTTCCTAGTATCTTGATTGGTATCAATTGTTCGATCAAATTTACAAATAACAGAGTAAACGGCAATCCCATAGTGACAGACATTGATGAGAGTAACACTAAATGGAATTTTGACCCAACAGTTGTGGAAGTCATTGAGTTCAGAGGAAAAGGAAAGAAATGTGGAGAAGACAATAAATGAAAACAGTTTTTGTGAACTTGTCCACAGCTGTTGATATATTTGTAAATAATATGTAATAATCCATGCATTTGTGTAGGGAATTATCATGTCATCGAGACATCTCAAAGCGCTTCACAGAATTCAAACTAGAAAGTATAGCGATTATGCATTCTGTAGGCATACATGCCAGCCAATTTACACATATCAATGTCAAACTGCCATGGATTGAATAACTAATTTTATGTGGGGAACTGTTAGCCAGGACACCGGGAGAAATTCCTTTCTCTTTTTGAATTGTGCTGTGGGATCTTTAACATCTCGAATGAATAGGCAGGCATGAACTTGGTTTAACATCTCGTCCGAAGGACAGCACTTCCAACAACGCAGCACAACCCCCGGCACTGGATTGGAGTGTTCGTCTAGACTGTGAGTTTCAAGTCCTGATATGGGGGCCACACATTGGGACTTGAAACTTGAACCCACATCTTCTTACTCAGGTGAGAATGCTACTATCTGAACCAGACTGACATGTGGATAAAAGTTACTTAAAATTATTTAAACAGAGGAGTATGCAACAGTGGGATTGACGCCCCGTTACAGCAGAAGTTTGTGAGCAGGTTGTTGTAGGATCTCGCTGTGACTGAGAACACTTGGATGAGTCAGCTCTGTCTCACTAATAGAAACAGCTGCAGGTTTGGCATCACATAACACAGCAGCTGCTGTGCAAATGTGGCATTTCCTGCATGGGGAGGGGGAGGGGGGGAGCGTAAAGTAAATCAGCAGATTATTAACCCCTTGAGACACTCTGTCACAGAAACAAGCAGTCTGAGCACAGACAGCAACGTTGTACAAAAATAATTCTTGCCTTTGATATTTCGGCTTTATCATACTGAAACATCTCAAAGTGCTTCAAACAATGAGTTACTTTGAAGCATTGTGATTGTTGTTCAAAGCACCAGAGTGAATGGGGAAATCAGAACTAAAATCACAAATTGATAGCTTTCACTGTTTTTTTCAGCAATGGGCCAGGCAGGGGCAGTACTGATGATAGCCAACCAGAGGAAGAAAAGAAATCAATCAGTGGTTATATCCAACACCCCTCCCTACATACACATTTCACTGAAAAGGCTTAATAGATGAGCTTGTTTATCGTTGGGGGGGCAGGGGGAGAGAAGATAAAGATTACCAAAAACACAGTCAAAGAGGTACGTCTTGAGACGTGCCTTAAACAAGGAGAGGGATATCCCAAGTTGGAGGGACTCTGGGATGGAGTTGCAGCGAGGAGGGGCAGAATAGCTGGAAACCCAATCGAGATAGATAGGGCTGGGGGCATGAAGCAGGTAGGTGCTCGCTATTAGGAAGAGACATGATGGGCTGAATGCTCTTCTTCTGTGCCATAAATTTCTATGATTCTAAGTACTGTCTGTCTAACAGTCTCCGAAAAATTTCCATCTACAAATTCCTAGCTATTAATTTCTGGTTACTAAATCACAGCCTCAATTTTTAAAAAAAATAAAATTTCTAATGCTGGATCAATTTTGCAACCATCTTGTCACAAGTCTAAATTTTCTACTTCAAGATTGAGAGAAGAAGGGATAATGATGCTCATTTATCGTCTCAGGCTTCATGAAAGCAACAATTGAAACCCACCCCCCTATACACACACACACACATACACAATGATTTTGTCCTAAGACCTATTCAAAAAATATTGACAGCTAACTTGGCTGTCAGGCGCTGCTGTCTTTTCTATTCTGGAGCCAGTGTTTGACAGGATGCCGATGGAATTAAGTCAGTGCCCTATTTTTAGCCTCCCACAAACACCGATCTTCTCGTATTTGGGAGCAACAGCACAGAGAAATCTTCGGGCCCATCCTTTAAACTGAAAAACAGTTGGAAACAGCCAGGTATTGACTGAGACATTAACAGCGTGACATTTCAGACAGTGTGATAATATCCCTGGTGGAGGCTATCACATGGAGTGTCCAATTTTTCACTTCATTCTGTGAATTCAGTACACTTACCTATCATGTCTATGCTGGCGTGCAACAGCTCAGACAGTGTGGCAGCTTTTCCTATGTGAATCGATCCCATGATCCTTTCGGGCTTGTCAAAGGGTCATGTGCATTTTGCAGAAGAGCATCTCAGCTTGCAGGCTGGGCTCATTAGTACGCAGGAGAAGAGCGTTCGGCCTCTTTAATAAATAACTGAAAAGGAAAAGGACAAACTTGTTATGGATATCTGACTCCTAAAGCCGCAATGTGTTCATTGATGGGGAATCATTATGAAAGAATGTATCTGTGTATCTGCCATTGCTTCTTTTCCATAAAAGTGCTGCTCTGGAGTGTGGATTTGTGAATTCTTTTAATTAGACTTCGATGGTTGGTGTAACAAATAAATGAGTTTTAAATAATATAATGACTCAAATATTTTGCTTCGCATACAGCACTCTGCCCGTCTGCTCCATGAGAAAGTAGATTACACATCCACATCCTATTTCAAAATATTGTTTTTCTGGCATCTTGAAGAGATTTATGAAAGTTTGCAATGTTCATCCCATCTTCCTGTCACTTTGAGGTTACCTGGGATGACTCGCCCCATCAGTACTCAAATCTGAGATCTAAGGTTTCAGTTGACTTTAGAAGGTTTGGGAAGAAGAAAAAAAGGACCTTTGCTGCAATCCTAAAGTAACAACAACAATAACTTGCACTTATATAGCACCCTTCACGTGGGTTAGCATCCCGGAGTGCTTGACAGTGGCGGAGTCTGACCCCGAGCCAGGGGGAGAGGGAGAGGGGAGGTGACCGTAAGCACAATCAAAAAGGAAGGTCTTTAGACAGTATTTGAAAGTGGGGAGGGAGGGGACAAGGTGGAGGGATTGAGGGAGAGAGTTCCAGAGCTTTGTGTCTTTGTGGCTGAAGGCACAGCCACTGATGATGGAACGGAGGGGATGAGGGACGAACAGGAGGCCGGAGCCAGCCGAGCATAGGCAGTGGGTGGGAATGGGTGGGTAAGCAAATCGGATTGGTAGGGAGGTGTGAGGGCATGAAAGGGATTTGAAAATGAGTGAGAGTATCTTGAAAAACACCATCTTAAAAAAACTACCTTGATTTTGGAGGTCCCCTGATGTCGGTTTCAAGTGAGATGAATCTCTGAAGTCCAGAGCCCAGGGAAAAGAGTCCCTGCTCCCAGTGACTAGTCTGTATCTCCAAGTCTTGCTGATGAGCCAGCCTGGCTGGTTTGTCATCAGCAATGCCCTGGAGTACTGTGGACCTGCCTAATTCAGGAACTGAACTACCGAGACTGCCACAGAGGGTTGACTCGATTCCAACATTCCGTTACCAGACATGTCACCTTGGAGCCAGTTCAGCTCCAAGATGACCCTATTTACCTCTCCCCCAAGTCACTAGTTGGTCATTTGACATCCAACAAGCACGGGTTTGAGTTCTCACTGGCTGGATGGTAGAAAGCTTCCTGGGGAGCAACACAGCTCAGCACAATATATGTGAGAGCATTGCCACCATCTTTCTGCCCACGGTCGGACACACATCCTTTCCAATTGAGTGATATTTCTACCAGTTGGAGGTGCAGAGCTTGAGCATCAGCTTCTTACCTCTCTGTAAACTAATCAAGGTGGATTCCAAGCCCTGTACAAATGTGTGTTCATGAAGTTGGACTCCAGGGAATGCTTTCCAGCATGTGTTGCCATGAGCCTCAGAGTTTTCTTATATGATGCCTTCAGTGTGGTGGGAGGATCCAAACATCTCACCTGAAGTATGGCACCTCCAACAATGCAGTGCTGCCTCAGGACTGCGTTGAAGTGTCAGCCCAGTCTGTGAGTTGAAGGTCCCGAGTTGGTGGGGTTTGAACCCCAAGTGCAATGGCACATCAAGACCCACCATGTTCTACTTTCTTGTAATCAGACCATGACACAGGGAGGGAGTAACAAGTGAGTTTTGATGAAACTCTAGAACATTCATGTGCCCATGCAGCCCCATGCCGGTCTACTCCTAACTCCTCCCAGCTTACAGGAGTCAGCTCCCTCTGCTGTTTGTGGCCCCTGAACTAACATAATAACAACATGCCATAGCAAAGTCTAGCAGTGGCAGCCGAGAAAGCAGTATTTACAGAATAATAGATTGTTTACTGCACAGAAGGAGACTATTCACCCCATCCTCTCTGCGCTGGCGCAAGTTCCCCCACTAGATCTATCTAAATTAATCCAATTACCCTGCTCTGTCCCTATACCCTTTGGTATCATTTTCCCTTTATCCAATTCTCTTTTAAATTCTATTATGGACTCAGATTCAGCAACAAAATTGGGTAAAATCTCTCTCTAACCCTTAGCATCGCACAAACCACCTAAGATCTCTCAATCTCAGAGTTCCAACACTTCTAGCTCTGTGATGCTTGTAGATGAAATCATAGGTAAAAGGAATAGTCACGTGAGGAACAACTTTAGGGAAAACCTAAAGTCAAAGACAATTAATCCAATTTTCAGTCCCATTCCCCTCTATAAAGATCACAAGTATCACATGAATAACTCACACTTCTGGTATAAGTGTGGTCAGTTTGCAGAAGAACTTTCTGAACTTTGGGAACGTCCCAACTTTTTCCTGATCATCACAAGTCTATGCCCATCAATATCCCAACAGTCGCACACATCAAAATGATTTGTGGATCTTGTACCCTCCTTACTGTCCCTATTCAGAAGGCGATGGAGAGGTAGTTTGAATGTAAAAAGGTTACTTCTTAAAGTTTCCTTTAAAATCATCCATAAAATCTCTTTTTGCCACTTTCCAGGTATCACAAAGGGTTTGCCCCCTCTCAATCCTTCGGCAGAGAGTTGAATGATGGTCTCCAGTCAGCTACCCAGCATGTTCTACAAGCAAGTCCTTGGAGAATTCAGGTTCCAAAGAAAATAATAATAATATGAAGAATCCTTACATTTGATATAGCGCCTTATCACATCTCAAAGCGCTTCATAGGATATATTGTAAAGTGCATTGACTGTATATTTTGTGGACGAAACGCAGCAGCCAATTGACCACTGTAATGTCCCACAAATAGCCGTGGATTGAGTGACCAATTTGTTTGTTTTTGAAGGGATTATTACACCCGGAAAGTGATCCGCCAATCAACTAACAACAGTTTAGGAACAGCATAACCTAGTGACAGGAATGCTTTTATGTAAGAATAGAGTGATAAGGTAAAACAGTATTTGATTAACAGGAATCAATAATACTGTAAAACTACTAACACTAACAGTGAGACACACTGATTTTGAACAGGATGGGCCTGTCCACCAGTCTGTCAGATTGCTTAAGCCCTGCCCGGCCTGCTCCACGATCCACCAACGGTTGGGACTTCAGCCTCTCTGCCTTCACCCTCTGGAACTCCATCCCACAGTCCCTTCACCTCGCCCCTTTGCTTTCCTCCTTGAGGGCACATATCAAGACCCTCTTCTTCAACCAGGCCTTCGGCCACCCTCCTACCCCTACCCCACTTGCCCTCCCCACCTCCTGATCCCAACCCCCAGCTCGGGTCCAAATCCCTGACTGTCCAGCGCCTTGGGACATCCACCCAATGTGAAAAATGCAAAACAAAATTTGAAGGAGGCAAGCAGGATGTCTCAAAGCTCTTCACAGGATTTTAATGAAAGTGCAGTGCCTGTGATTTGTGAGCGAATGTGGCAACCAATTTTGTGCACAGCAATGTTCCACAAACAGCCATGACATGAATGATCAATTTTTATCCGAGGGATTGTTGATCAGGACACACGGAGAAACTCACTTCTCTTTTCGAACAATGCCATGGAGTCCTGTAGCTCAGTGGTTAGAGTACTCTAACCAGCCTCGCTAGCGAAAGACCTGGGTTTGATTCCCGGCAGGACGAAATCTTGGCCAAGTTTTCTTACTCCACATGCTTGATAATAATCCCTCAAGAATAAAAAAGTAGTAAAAGTGTCCACTTCAATCCATGACTGTTTGCGGGACACTCCTGTGCTCAATTGGCTGCGTGTTTCACTCATAAATATACAGTCAATTCACTTTACAGTATATTCTGTGAAGCGTTTTGAGCTGTCTGGAAGAAGTGAAAAGCTCTGTATCAAATGCAAGGATTATTCAAATTCAAGATCCTCATCCTCACCTACAAGGTCATTCACGGCCTCGCTCCCTCCTACCTCTCTGACCTACTATCCCCCTACCTACCAGCCCGTACCCTCCGTTCCTTTGGCTCTGGTCTGCTCCACATCCCCCGCCCTAACCGCCCTACCATCGGTGGCCGGGCCTTCAGCCTCTCAGCCCCGAGGCTCTGGAACTCCATTCCCCAGTGCCTTCGCCTTGCTTCCTCCCTTTCCTCCTTCAAGGCCGGTCTAAGACCTTTCTCTTCAACCGTGCCTTCAGCTCCCCTCTCGACTCTCTACCCCCTCCTCACTCTCTCTCTTCCCTCCCCTCACCCTGAACATTTCCCCCTGCTCGGGTCCTGACCCAATTGTCCAGCGCCTTGGGATGTCCTCCCGACGTGAAAGGCGCTCTATAAATGCAATCTTGTTGTTGTTATTATTATTATGCCATGGGATTTTTATCCTTCACCTGAATATGCAGACAGGGCCTTGGTATAACGTTTCATCGAAAGAACACACCTCCAACAATAAAAAATAACCCCCTAATGAACTGTCAGCTTTAGACTATATGAGTTCCAGGTTCCAAAGTAGAGCTTGAACCCACAGCTTTCTGAATAGGAGGCGAGAATGCTACTCAGACAGATGCACAGTCTGCTTGCAAAGCAGTGGGGAGTGGAGTGGCAATAGAAGCAGGATAATAAATTTCCCCAAGGCTAGTTTTGCACTACAACTATAACATGATGGATGATCCAGTGGTGCACATTGTATGAAAGCCAGCCCAGGCGTTCTTCAATTCCACTGTCCAGCTGTTCTAGCAGCAGTGAGTCCGGTTTCCTACCATCTCCTTGTGTGTACTACCTCTCTGTGATATTCACACAACATAGACACAAAACACTGAGGATAAAACACAGGCTTATTTCAACTCACGATTGGCCAGTCTTTAACAATCAGAAGTCCCATGCGAATAACAACAGTACTTTTCATCAACTTGTGAAATCTTTTACACCTTGCCCCCACACAGCTTCAATAGCCTGTGAACTCGCAGTTATAATTAATAAATATCAACAGAAAAGTTTGTGAAAAGCACACACTCACCCAGTGTAAAGGATTGTTCTCTTTTCTGCTCCACAGCCCAGTACAGAAACATTATTTTGTAACTCCCTCATTTATATTGATACGTAGAAACCCATAGACCTTAAACTCCTTACGGAGGTTGCTAAGCTCCTGCATCATGTGATATCATGATTTAGGCATGTCAATTATCCCAGCTGAGTGAGTGAAGACGATCGCATTTATGCTTCAAATAGTTTGTGTGTGTGAGAGAGAGAGAGAGAGAGAGACAGCGAGCAAGAGAGAGAGAGAAGCCCACATGATGACTCATGCGCACTGATATCCCACAAGCAAAACAAAACAGAACATAAGCAGCACATACAGTAGGAAGAATGTCTTCCCACTGCCTTCCAAATTACAATCCAGCACAGTACCACAGAGGTACCTTGAGAACCTGGGGCTCCAGCAGTATGTAAATGATTAATCTCGCTCAAATTTCCTGCATTCAAGTAAAAGTTAGACACCGGTTATTTATACGCTACGTTTCAAATAAATGTCAACCCTCAGTGTGATCACAACAGCTTGGCTTCCCATCCCCCTCACACAGCTGGTAGACCAGCACAGTTTGAAGCACATTTTCTCCCGTTTCTTGTTTTCATAAGGAGTTTGCAACTCATTGACATTTTATTTACTCGAGTATTGAAAGAGTAACTAATGGCTCCTGTAATAGTACAGTGCAACACAATTTAGCAACTTTCACGTCAGGAAAACGTCTCAAAGAGCTTGACAGTTCTGGCTGGGTGCCTGAGCTGGGAGGATAGTGAGGAGGGGGAAAGATGACCGAAAATGCAGTCAAAGAGGTATGTTTTGAGACGTGCCTTGAACGGGAGGGGAAGCAACAAGTCAGAGCGACTCCTGGATGTAGTTCCAGAAAGCAAGGGCAGAATGGCTGAAATAGTAATAATAATTTTTGCATTTAATGTAGCACCAATAATGATAAAAATATTTCAAGGAGCTTCACAAAGTTTTTTTCTTAAGTGTGGCGACTATATTTATGGGCAAACATTGCACAATGCTTACTTCATAAACTCTTAGTCTCATAGTAGTAGCGGCTCTGGTTGTTATGAAGGACATTCATTGCCAAATACCTAGGGCACGCAATACAATAAGCTACAAATAATGAATATCTGTCACAGGAATTCATGGCTTGTTTGTACAGGTCACAAGACTAAATGCCTTGAGGTTTTATTTCTGTGCATGGATGTCAAATGCTATTTTTGTGCTTTGGTTGATCATATTGCTGCTTTGCAGACTGAAATTTGACTTACAAACAGAGTTTTAAATGAATTAAACCATTGTCATGCTCTCATTTATCTCCTAGTTGTGGAATAATACCTAAAATAAACCTAATTGCTCTATTGGCCTTTTTTGTATTCCGCTGTGTTTTGCAATGATGTGATGTAGTAACTGTTACACTAGGAATTTATTAAACTTTTATTAAACAGGAACCAAACCATTCCCTAGTCGTTAACAGCAAATGATTTTCCTGTGAATGTACAGTAAACGTCACATAATCCGTATCAGTTGGGACCATACATTTAATGTGACTTATGCAAAGTATAAGTTATGTGAAAATAATAGGAAATTCTATGGGACTTGGACAGATGTACGACTTAGGCAATTATACAGATTAGATTTATGCAAGTTTTACTGTACATCACTGCTGTTATTTTATAACACTTGGAGAACAAGGCTGTTGTTTGAGATAATCCAAGATTTTCATTCTTGGAAAGATTCTTCCAGCACCACTATAGTATTTTTATTCTGGGACAAGATTAAAAATGTGATGTCTGATAGGCAATGTTTCACTCATCTCAAGGCACTGACCTCTCTCTGTAACCAACATTTTTGGCATTTTCTGTTTTAATGATATTGAGGGCTAAAATGCAGTGATTTCTAACAAGTTTCCTTAACAAGGATTCTATGTGGCAATGACTTCCTTACAGTAAAGGTAAGTCCACTGATCCATCCTGTGGGAGCTCCATTCCAGAAGTAGGTTGCATTGGAGGAAATCCCATGGCTTGGAGTGATGTATTTCCAGTTAGCAGAGGAATCCTTAGCTGCTACTCTGATTTCTTGTTATAATAATCATTAATTTGGTACAGTGCCTTTCATGTCAGGAGGATGTCTCAAAGCACTGAACACAATTTACTGTAAAGTGGAGCTACTGTATTTTGTGGACAAAAGCGGCATCCACATTGTGCACAGCAATGTCCCATCAAGAGTCATTGATGAAGCCCATTAAAAAATTGCATCACTTTAGACTTCACTACAATAAATATCAATACTCCTCACTGGTTTACACTGCGGAGTTTCAAAACTTTGGCCAAGCATTCGCGTAATTACGCAGGATGAGGAACTTGACCTTCTCAGAAAGAAGACAATTCCCGTATTAGGTAATAATGTATGTGAGTATTTTCTCCATCTACCAACCTTTCCCTTCCCTCCCACAGACAATTTAAAACTATAAAAAGCACTTGCATTCAGAAACGTTAACCATTTCAACCTTAAACATGCTGATTATTTCCTGGTTGCTCAACCTATATACACAAAGACATTACAATGGCCCTCCGTACCTATATTGAGAGAGAATTGGAAAAGGGAAACCTGTAGCTTGTATCGTGTTTACTTACAAATATCTTGTATCTTGTTCACTTATTTCCCTCCTCACCTCCTTCAGCTACCTCTTCACCCACTTGACCTTCCACTCCAGCTCAGGTAGCATGCCAGCAGTGTTAAGCACGTTTCGGCATTGTCCTGAAGTGAACGGCATTATATAAATGTAAATGATATTGAATTGTAAGTGCACAGTCACTACATTCAACAGAAAAATCTATGATGCACTTTGAGACATTTTGACTTAATAATAATCCTTGCATTTGATATAGCGTCCACAATGTTGAGAATGTCTCAGTGCTTCATAAAGTTTCTGTGATGGTGCATTTGTAGGCGAATAAGGTTCTATGTCGAATGCAAGGATTATTATTGTGTTATCATTTCCGATAATCAGCAATCTTTATTGATCAGGACATCATTTCACAACATCAGTAAAATTAAGAAAACTGAACTGAGCTCAGATATATCATGATTTGGAAAAAAATACAGGTTTAGTTAAGGGTGCAGTAACTCTCGAGTTGATAAGGTATATTAAGTATTGCAGACATCAGAGCTATTTATCTACCTACCAACTTTATTTTTGACCTGGGGGTTTCCTTTTACTGGTGCAGAAATAGCTGGGGCCACATTTTTGCTCTCAGCAAGTGATAATGAGCTACAATATTCAAATAACAGGGTGACACAGGACAGCTGGATTACCCAGCACTAAGGAGGGCTGCTTTCTACCTTTGAAAAATAAATCTGTCAAGGACAAAACTCCAGATGTGCCAGAGAGGACTCAGCCCAAGTAACACAGAAGAACTGAGTATTAAGGTCAACTGTTAGGGAGAAGGAAACAAAGACTGATCGGGATGGGTAGATAGAACCACAGAGATGACTTGGGTTATTCTAGTTTATGATACATTTATATTGGGCCTATCATATTCCAGGCAGGTCAGGGCGAAACCTTGGGCAAGTTTCCTTACTCCACATGCCTAATAATAATCCCTCCAAAACCAAAAACAATAATAAATTGGTCATTTTCATCTACGACTGTCTGTGGGACATTGCTGTGCGCAATTGGCTGCCGCGTTCGCCCACAAATATACAGTCAATTCACTTTACAGTGTGTTCTGTGAAGTGCTTTGGGACGTCCTCCCGACGTGAAAAGCGCTATATCAAAATGCAAGGATTATTATTATTATATTGGGAGGATGTCTCAAAGAGCTTCTTTTGTACTGGATGCAGTTGGAAGCTGAGGGAAGGAGGGAGGGGAAAATTGACTGAAAGCACAGTGTAAAAGATATGTTTTCAGATGTGCCTTAAAGAAGGGAGGGAGGGAACAAGGTTATACCTTTAGTTGTTGGACTCCAATTTATGATACACGGATGGGAAGCACCAGCTGTGATTTTTGATTGCGACTTACAGAAGCCATGTGTCAACTGAGCATCATCTCTGAAAGCCGACAAAGTGTGTGGAAAGACTGGAGAGTGAAACACGTGGTTGGCGTTTTGCTGTCTGGCTTTTGTTCACAGTTTACCTGAGTTCGGAAATCAGTTAGTGATTTCCAAATAATGTAAATTGCAGGACAAAACTGAAGTCACAATGAATCCTTCCCATCCTGTTGTGAATATCACAAATTATACTGCAAGAGATAATATCACCAGAGTTAACAGTTTTACCTGACTAGTTTCACTATATAAGACATTCTTAAGCACTTCAAAATCTGGACTTGATTTAGTTGCCTGTTCTAATCACTGTAATATTGTGTGGAGAGCTTTATAGCTCAATCAGTGATATCAATTTCCAAATATTGGGTGCAAAATTCCATCGAGTCCTAGCCTGGAAGTCCATTTAGTATTAAAATGTAAGATTGCAGAAATTGTGAATTGAATTACTCTCAGTTAAATTTGCATACTGTTGAACACTGATGGTGGGTTTTTGAATGGGTCAGACACTCGACTGACTAAAAAACAAAATGCTCACTTAGCTAAGGACCCAATTAAGCTCTTGTCCTTTAAACCTGTATCACCAACCTAGTGGTCTTGACCAGCAGTTTGCCAAAGTAAATCTGGATTCCAGTTTAAAAGGTGCAAAATCAACCAGGAAAGATGTCTCTGTGTTAGTAAGTAATGGCGTTGCTGTAGAACTACTTAACAGCTCTTAGACCTTATGCTCAACAAACACTCTGTATTCTGTTTGCAATTGTTAGTTAGGGTCGGAACATTTTTTATTGCTGACCCTTAGCACTACCTTTTTTGGCTTTCATTCATGAATAAATCCTGCACATCTGAACAACAATGTACTCTTATGTTTCAGAGGCACTTCTGGCATCTGACATAATCCTGCTTGCAAGTGGAGGAAGAATCTATTGGTTCCCAGGTTGCAGGCACTCCAACAATTCAATAAGATCTTAATAAGATTTGGTCAACCAGAGAGGAGCACGAGGTCAACAAAAGCTGCTGTGTGCAACTAATAGACTTGCAGTTGTGCCAGCAGTGGTTTAACACCCACTGGGCTGCCAGGTCTCTGGTTGTACTTATAATAATAGTGATAATAATCTTTACATTTGGTATAGCACTTTTCGCATCGGGAGGACATCTCAAAGAGCTTCACAGAACATACTGTAAAATGTAATAT